CATCAAGATCCTTGCCCTGTGGTCGGGAAGTAATGAAATATCCCAAACCGGCAATGTGAGCTTGTCCCCTCATGATAGCAAGCCATTGCTCGTGGTTTCCACCCTCCGGTATCAGATCAGCCTTGGTCAAAACGCCGATTGTCCTGTTAAGGGCGCCCAGTCTACGGATAAGACCAAAAGTTGAAGAATTCTCTGCATCGCTGTTCATTGGCATAGAACACATGATAATGGCAGACGGGTGCTGGATATACTCCTTGGACAGATTCCTCACGACACTTACAAGATAGTCATCGCTTGCATCAGCAGGGTTCTGGAAAATACCAGGCATATCGTAGAAAGAAAGATCAGGAAGTTCTGGCCCTTTGATCTCAAGTGCAACGATATTAGGTGAAAATTTAGCGGCGACTGCTTCGGCGGCTCTGTCGATTGGGATGTTGACAGCCAGTGCACCTGAGCCAGGGACAAACAGCTCGTGACTCTTGTCGTCATTGAGAATAGCGATTTGAGCCCATCTCAAAACATCTTCAATCTCGCTGTAGTCGATCATTGTCTTGAACTCGTGAGTCGCACTGGACGGTAGTTTGCGCCAGGGGAAGAAAGGATCTCTGTCAGTGACATCCCCTTCCGAGATGCGGCCACTAGGTGGGGGCTGGTAGGAGTATGCCTTGCGCAGCGATACACGGCAAGAAGGGTCGTGACTTCGTGATACCCTGATATGGAGCGGACATCGTGTACATGTGCCCTCACTGCGCGGGAGATCGAGATTTGCGAGACCTGACATCAAGCTAGATTTTCCTGCAGACTGATCGCCAACAAGCACAAGCTCGGGAAGTGGAACATCGTGGTCAACGCCGAGCTGCTGAAGCTCCCCGAGGGTGTCATTGCACGCCTTGAGCTTCTTTCCAATGTCCTGGAAGGAGGTTTGAAAGAAGCTCCCATCTGTGGGAACATTAGTTGGGCTCTCAGCTGCTGCGTTGGGGCGCATCCTGAGTTCCCTCAAAAGAGGTTCAGGCTCAGTGATGCGTTCACTTGGAGTTGCTTTGGAGATTTTGTTAGTGTATGCGTTTGGAAGAGGAGATGAAAGAGGTACTCACGGGCATCCGATCTGTGGTGATAGAAAGCCTGATCGGGTGGAATATAGCTAGTGCTGCCACCGTAGCTAGAGGAAGCAGAAGGAGCAGTGCGAATACCGAAATTGACAGTTCCTGAATCTGGCATAGAAGGATTATCTTCTGGATCAGGTTTGACACGAGGCCCGCGGCGTCTTGATGAGTGTGACATTCTTGTGGAAGAGAGACTGTGGGTGGCGCGCGAAGACATTATTGTTGCTGCAGTGGCAGCGGCAGTGACAATGCCCCGCAAAGACAATTCGAATTAGTGATGCTTCGAAGCTCATGAATGGGCCTATTGTTTTTCTGCTTCACAGAGCAGGCTGCAAAGCTGGAGCCTGGATGGCCCGTGAGCACGCAAAACTGGCTGGAAAGAAAAACGGGAGGGTATCGAAAAGCAGTTATGAGCGAAAGAGAATAAAATAAGAAGATTCAGCGAAATCCACTGAAAAATGAAGTATCATAGACGTGGATATACAGAATAGGAGATGTTGAGCTGAAGTTTCACCAGACGCAGCTCGCAGATTGGCGGTTGGCTGCCTGGGCCTCCTATGCTTGCTTCTTTCAAGTGGCACTACCGTTGCTCTGGGGCAACACGCTGCCCCGATAATTGATGATAGAGCGCGACGGCTCTGAGAGTAATTGAAAGCGCGCAACAAATCTGAGTACGTCTAAAAAATTTTTACAGGTATGAAACAGAGTCTGGTATAAGATTCTGATATTCTTAATACCAATCAGTCTCTACTGAGAAGCTGGTATCGCAATTATCACACCCTGTCCTAACAGCAGTTATTGCTGCATGGAGTGGACAAGATGCAGCCAGGAACAGCAGATAAAATAGGAGGCTGGGACAGGGCTGCAGGCGATAACCCAAAGATAACGCGTTAGCGCGTCTGTGTTTCCCCTGAGCGGCAGTTGAAGCCTTCTTCACAATTAGACCTACCTTGGTCAGTGCGCTCCAATCAAACAATTTTATTGTCTTGCGGTATGCTCATTGAATTCATCTTGACGCGTAACCTGCCCTGAAACGATAGAGCCTCCAGTGGACGAACAGTTCCTAAGAGCGGGTAGTGGGTCTGTCACAACGTCCCGTCCCCACATTCAATCCATCCATGCATCTTATTCCCGGAACGTCACTCCGACATGCAATTAAACTTCTTCAACACTCGAACAAATGGACAATGAGATCAACGTGCGATCGACTCGAGCCCGAGCTCGAAAGCGCGAAAAGATATCCAATGCGTCAGTTTATAGCTTTTCCAATATCCTACCAATTTAATTAACGCAGAGTAGCTGTATCGGCTGCCGCAACAGCAAGACTCGCTGCTCAGGGCGCCATCCTTGTGAAAGATGCATCAGACGTAAGGAAACGTGCGTCTTTGAAGAGAAAGAAAAGAAAGTAGCTGTATCTGTAGAGTATGTGACTGGTCTGAGCAGATGAACCCTTGCTAAAGACTGATGGACTTAGTTACCTCGACCAATTACACGCTCGTATTGAGTCACTTGAGGCTCAATCACGCTCCGTCCACGGTCTAGACTCAAACACCGAGGCCCTCTCAGCGAGTTCAGTGCACCCCAATGCACGTCCTTCATCAAGGAATCCTCCAGAAAGCCCCTTGAATGAAACTGGGACGCCGTCGGTACGTATCACACAGTGAACGTTTCCATTTCTTGACTAACTCTCAAAAAGAGGTCGGAGTCGAGTTCCCTTACAAATGCTCTGGTCACTTCCGAGCCACAGATCAAGGTTCATCGTTATGGACACGCGGGTGAGCCTCCTTCTTTGTACCTTATAGTCATCGATATGCTCACCGTGTCAGCCTACCTTGGGCATAGCTCGACTCTCAGCTTCAGTCGTAATGTCCGCAACCTTCTTCAACAGTCATCCCCAATCGCAGATCCCGGAAGTGTATCTATGGAACGACAGGACATATCGTATACACGAACACTGCCGCCGATAGCTCTCGATCTGTCAAGCATCGCCCTGCCAAAACTCTCTTATGCTGAATACTTGACTAACACAGTGATTGTGCACATCGGTTCTCTTTACTCCATATTTGATGCAGACATATTTCTCCAAAGACTGAGGAGCTTCTACGATGATCGCGACAAAGGTTTGGAAGCTGATGCGAGCCTAGGGCACATTCAGATGCTACTTGTGTTAGCATTCGGCAAGTCAATACAGTCCAGAGAACACTCTGAGATGGGCCCCTCCGGAATGGCCTACTTCACACTTGCTATTGAAGCTATGCCAGATATCAGAAGGCTCTACGAAGATCCCTTGTTGTCAATTGAGGTTCTCTGTCTGGCTGCTTTGTTCATGCATGCAACCGATCTCCTGCAGGAGGCCTATGTCACGGTTGGTTTGCATATCTTCGGTATTTCGTCCAACTAATTGACCCTTAGATTGGCCAAGCCCTGCGGATTTCTGTCACCAAAGTTCTGAACAAACAATTTCCGGAAGCGTTAAGATCTTCAAACTTCGAGTACCAAAGGCGGCTCTGGTGGACAGTCTACTGTATCGATAGGAAGTGCGCAGCGATGCTAGGCAGTCCGTCTGTCATGAGAGACGACGATATCTCAATTCCGTTCCCAGGAATAAAGCCAGGAGATGAGTCGCAGAACGCATTCGCCATCCATGCGATTCTTTCTTCTCATCTCGGCAAGATCCTTGATGGTGAGCTTCATGGTCTGTATCGTGTGAATGGTCGCTTATCCAGATGTTCACAGCCATCTATGGAGTGCACGATCAACAGCGGAATTTCCTTCTTGAAGTGAAGTCCATTCTTTCTCGTATTGCGGAAACCTATGTTGTCCTTCGTGAACATCTGCCGCTAGATGTGCAGCAACCAAGCCAGCCAATTTCTCGCGAGTCTGCCACGCTCCATATTCTTCTCCATCAGGTGTGTTTTCTTATCGAGTCTACTCGCACCCGAACTAATTAGGTCTCAGTGTGTGATTTTGACTGTTAGGCCTGTTCTCTTCTCACTTCTCAAGCCCCTGCTAGCACCAATTTCTCCAGTGTCCAATGCTCGCCACTCTTCGTCGCCATTTGAGTTGATGCTGAAGATGTGCATCGAGTCTGCAGTCCAGATTCTCAAGATTATGTCAATTCTGAAGCAACAAATGATGTGTGGTGAGTTCTTCAGTCTTTCTATAACAGTTTGTTATTGACTTGAGCCCAGATATCTTCTTGCCATATGATATCGATGCGCTCTTTTCAGCGGCATTTGCCTTGATTCTAATCGACATCATCCGACCAGCAAATGAGCTTCTTTGGGACTTGCCCCAGGTTATGAACCTACTTGGCGAGTTTGTATCACGGCGCGTAGCTCCGGCGCAAGCCTATCGGTCTGATCTCGTACAAATCCTAGAACTACATACTAAGCTACGAGGTAACAACAATCGCCAGCACCAGGATGCTGGGAACATGTTCAATGTGAGCCTTGTTCCGGGTCTGGACGAATATGCTATAACCCACCCAGGCCAACTAGGCATATCACCTGACCCATTGTGGTCAAACATACGAGATGGAAACGGAGTTGGAGATCCTGCGCACCCTAGCACAATCCTATCAGTGATTGATGATCTAAATGTAGAAGGTGTCAATATCTTAGATACTGCTATGCTTGATAATGCGTGGATGTGGGATATGGACGATATGTCTGCAAACATCTAAATTAGGTGCTAGATATTATAGTGATCAATTATTGTGTCAAGATAACCTGAGAAAACCACGCCCTCAGAAATGCGTGGCAGTTTGTGAGAGTCCTTAGACCTAGCTCCGACTTATACCGGAACGCTGTTCCGTAGATCAGTACGTATAGGACGGAGCGGGATTCCGAGGCTTATTCTCGAACAATATTTAACAAAGTAAGTTCCTATGCAGAACAAGCACAAAGTTTATTTTCGATTGACATCATGATATTGGCTACGCGTCGTATTGCTCCTGTCGTGTCCACCCTACGACCAGCAGCGCATATACCTCAAACCAACATACAACCAAGAACTATCAACTACGTACATACTCGCACATTCTCGGCCTCGATTTCGTCTTACGCAACTATGGAGCACGTATTCTCTCCCAAGGCAGTCGCTCGTTCGTATCATCCTCTCGCTCTATATAAACCAAATATTGACCAGAAATGCCAGCTATTGGTCCATACACCCAAGCCATCAAAGCAAACGACATGGTCTTCCTCTCGGGCCAAATCCCCGCCGACTCGCAGGCTAAGCTCATAGAAGGAACTATTGCTGAAAAGACGCACAAGATGTGTCAGAACGCAAAGGCTGTTCTAGAGGCAGCAGGCTCCAGCCTAGATAAGGCTGTTAGGGTAACAGTGCGTTACACATTTGATATTTCCAAGGCTTTTACTGATGATTTCGTAGGTTTACTTTCAAAATATGGATGACATGAAGGAAATGAACGAGGTTTATGCTGAGTATTTTCCACACAAGCCTGCTCGAAGTGCTTGTGAATCCCCGAGACTCCCTGCTGGTGCGAGCATGGAGATGGATATTATTGCGCTGCAATAGATTTTCCAATATCCAATAGCATTGATTATTCCTAAACAGTCTGACATGAACTCTTTATTGATCCTTATTATTATCCCAAATTGGGCATTTACTATTCCTCTGTTTGGCCATCTTCTTCTTCCTCATTTCCAAACTCATCATCTGACGATAAATAAACCTTATTAAACCTCACATAGTGAAACCAGCTCTAGGGCCATAGAAGCCTGTCAGCAGGATCAGGCCAGCAGCCTTCATCACGTTGGATTGTATTCTGAGCAGTACCTCGCGCTTTGGGCTGTGACCTACCAATTTGAACTTTCTCCAGAATACGCTCCATCTCGCGTTTCTTTGTATAGTATATAGCTCTTGCATGCTATAATCCTCTTGCAAGCAAGTCGAGAACTCATTCATTAGAGTGTCCAGTCGGATAGCCCCGCCCATTTGTGTGGCACCAACAAACACACTCATCTCGATCAGAAATGCCACTCAGAGAAGTTATCAAAACTTTGGGCGATTGCCTTCTTCTATTATGCTCATCTTCCATCACGTACAGAGAGAGGAAGTAGTTGTTCCCTTGCTTACCTCGCTCAAAAAGCAAGGGTCTAGCACCATTTACAAGAAGCTTTTCGAGGCCTAGTGCCCGTTTCTGATATAGATAAGGTGTTGTGAGGCCATTGAATTTCTCGAAAACAGAATCTGGGGAATTTTCGATTTGGTGGCTTAGGTGGTAAATGGATCTTGATAATATTGCCCTGGTTATTGGAGTAATGTCTATCCCTAGGAGCAATTAGTAGACTTGAATATTTATCATAGTTGCGAACTAACATGGTGGAAAACTGGGAGTTAACCTAAAGAGTCCCGTCGTTTTCATCGATGATAAATGTAAGGTGAGGTCCTTGTCTGTACGTTGAAACTATAAATGTGTAACCTATATAGCAGCTGTTAGGTTGTAAAGACAGCTTAAACTATCCGGTTTGCCCCTTTTCCTTTAACCTTTTTGATGGCATATATAGCTGCTTAAAATGTGTCTTTTATCTTCCCTTTTAGGTCGGTCGTATTCCAGAGAAATGACCCCGACAGCGCTGCCAGCTACAGAAAGAGGATCAGACATGTCGGAGGCTTTCCATGGATTATCGTTGGCCGTGTAAGTCTTTATGAAGTTGCTCTGGCTAAGTCTACCTTCTCAGGTAAATATGTTAAAGAGCTGAAAGTCGAGCATTTTGTTGGAGAAGAAGAGGCCCATTCTTAGAGCCTACGTACCTACCTGTCAGACCAACGAGGCAACTGATGACAAAGACATGGACTCGGAACAAGACAACTGCAAAGCATATGTCTGCATCTTGCATTAAAGTACCCCTCCGTCGAGGAAAGAGACAAGGAAAGCAAGAGCATACCCAAAACGAGTGGCAAAGCGTTCGGCCATAGCAGGTTGTCGCCGAAGACTCAAGCTTCCGTAGGATCTTGAGAAAATAGCATTTGCAATGTATGAAATGCTAATAAGCTCGGCCAGGTTCTTCAAATGCTTCTACTATTAGTAATAACATGTATCTGACGCAAGTCACACGCAACGAGCCGAGTACAAATTGTAATTCCAATTCAACCGCCCGTCTTATCTATGTCACCAGGTGAGGCACCATCTTGAAGGATTCGCTTAGTGGCGTGGCGACCGAGATGATCAGGGCCTCAGGCCCTGTCATAAGTTGCAACGGAGTGTTGTTAGTGCTGACCAAAGGCCAGGATGTTTCATCTTTGAATCAGGCCCTTGTGTCTGCAGATCATTCCATGATCCAGTATTTAATGATTGAGTCTCCGCCTTGAATTATTTGTTATAAGGCCGAAGACAATTATCGATCAAACAACAGCTTTGGTGATGGCTTCAAACACGCCCAAGACGCCATCTTCTGGCGCCTCACCTGGGAGCCTTCATCGGGCTACTAACCCCGCAGCTACCGGGCGGCAAGCAGGCCACGCAACAATTCCCCATGACAGACCCGTGGCCCTAATGACTTCTGGCGCTCCTCTGCTAAATCCACGCAGTTGCGTTACTTGTCGGAGACGCAGAGTCCGATGTGACAAGACGATGCCCTGCAGCAATTGTCGACGGGCTCAATGCGATTGCATCTACCCTGCTCCAGGCCGCGCACCACGTCAGACGCGGCTTGCGCCTACAGGGCCTGGCACTGGGCAGAGTGAGCGTGAAATGGATCTCTTGGATCGATTGCGGAAGCTCGAGGGGCTTGTCTATGAGATGAGTGGTCAAGGTACAGCTAGTGAGAATGACATGGAAGTGAGCAATGGAGAATCACCAGTGGCTTCAGAGAAGAGCAAGAGTGCAAAAGACGTCGTTCAAGCAGCCACTGAGAAGGTCAAGAGAGAGTCTGAGAATACCGATTTCTCAAAGATCAACAAACAGCTTGGCCGTTTAGTACTCCATGATGGAGACTCCACGCCACGATACGTCAATAGTGGCTTCTTCGTGAAGCTCAACGATGAGGTACGATCTCCTTGACAATCTCGAGCATCATCTGACATGGACAGCTCGCTGAAATTCGCAACGAGATGGAGACTATGAACGAAGAAGAAGCCGAGTTTGAAGAGGATACAACCCCTGAGCAGTCTCCTCCACAAAACTTGGGTATTGAGCATGACCACCACAGCTTCCTTTTTGGCTACAGTTCTGCCGATGTTGATCTCACTGGCCTACATCCATTGCCCGCCCAGGGCTCTTTCCTTTGGCAGATCTATCTCGAGAATATTGAACCTCTTGTCAAGGTGTTGCACATCCCCACCATGAGCAGACTCATGACTCAAGTGAGGCGCGGAGAGCATGATCTGCGTCCTGGGGATGAAGCGCTTGTGTTTGCCATTTATTACTCGGCTGTTACTTCGATGGAGACACAAGAGGTGAGCTCTCACTTACACAAGATGTGGACGCCGTCTCACATATTCTAGGTTGAATTAAATCTCGGCGCGTCTCAATCTCACTTCATTTCTCAATTTCGCTTCGCTCTTGAACAAGCTCTAGCCAAGGCTAACCTTCTCAACACCACCAACATGGCTATGCTGCAAGCATTTGTCATCTATCTCACCGTAGTCAAATGCCATGACGATAGCAAATTCGCTTGGACTCTTACAAGTCTTTGTGTCCGAATGGCTCAAGCCCTTGGTCTCTACCGCGACGGTCAACAGCTTGGTCTGTCACCGTTCGAAGTTGAGATGCGCCGCCGTCTTTGGTGGGCCATTGTGTCTCTTGACGTCCGTTCCGCTGAGGAGATGGGGTCTGATCTGATCATAGGCGACAAGACCTTTGACACTCAACTCCCATCCAACATAAATGACGCCGATATCGACCCATCTTTTACCGAGACGCCAACTCCACGTCAAGGTCGTACGGACTCCGCCATTTGCCTCTCCCGTTACGAGATCACCGCCCTATCTCGGGGTTTGTTCGCGGCCATAGCGCAAATGCGTCCTGTTGATCCCAAAGAGGTCGAAAAAAGCCTCGAAGAGCGCGAGCGCATGCTTGTCGAAGTCTACGAACGCATGGAGGATAAGTTTCTGAAACATCTTATAAGAGAAGATGATCCTATTTTTTGGGTTGCTTCTCTCATTTCTAGAATCATGATGGCAAAGGTTGGCCTCATCATTTATCAGCCCGTGCTCTTCCCCGGAACGGGCCCGGAGGTATCATACGAGATCCGAAGCCGGCTGTGGCAGTCTTGTATTGAAATCGTTGAGTACAGCCACATTCTCAATATTGACCCCAGCTGCCGCCAGTGGCGTTGGTTGTTCAAATCTTACCGTCAATGGCACGCGATTGCATGTATGCTGCTGGAACTTTCGAAACGGCCTTGGGGTGTCACCTCGGAGCGAGCGTGGGAAGCTGCCCAAATTCTCGACTACGACCATCCAATCGATGGCAGTAATAAGACAAACCATACGGCTGCATGGATGCCTATTAAAAGGCTTTTCACAAAGGCTAAACGGCATCGTGAATCAGAGCTTGTTCGTTTACGCGCTGATCCTGAGGCAGCGAGACGTCTCGATCGTGAGGAGAGACTCAAACCTGTACTGGAACGTATTGGCCCAGCGCCCGGAATGGAGACCCGCATGTCAGAACTCCGAATCCGGTGGCGAAAGATATTTCGACCGGGAGGCTTCTCCGATGATGCTGAATACCAGAACATTCTACCCGGCGCAGATCAACCTGCGTCCCTTTCGAAAACCCAACAACAGCCCCAACAGCCACTCGACCAAATGAGTGTATTTGACCCCAATACCTGGCAAAACACGCACTCTGGCAATCCAAATATTGCGATATATTACGAAGGGGGTGATTCTGGAGCACAGAACATGGGTGGTCTTTTCCCAGGTGATAGTAGCCTCGGAAGTCTCTCAAGCATTGCATCGCCCGCCATATCAGGAACGGCATCTACACATAGGAACGACAATGATCCTCAAGCACTTGGAGGTACTCGCCTATCACCATGGCCAGGTTCAGATATGTTTCAACACACACAAGATGCAGGTGCTTTAGGTGATATCGATGAGCTTTTCCAAAACAGAGCCGGGTCCAATCGTGGTCTCGACCTAAATATGGATCCTGGCGAAGTTGATGATATTGACTGGCAGAACTGGGATGAGACTTTAAGGACTTTGAACAGGCCAGCGATGGATCAAATGGGAGCGGGTGCTGGTAGTTGGGGCGGCATGTGAGCACGGTGAGCTCTGTACCGTTGCTCAGACTTATTAAACTTTTTTATACCCACGTGGTATATCCTGACAGGCCTCCACAATGACTTTGTTGCGAATTATGCTTACTTTGACAACTTACTAAGTTTGATCATCTATCATTGCACAAGTGTATCTGTATAGCACTTTTGGCTTTGAATGAATCGTGGCTACTCATACATCTGTCTTTGTGGTCGAAGAAACTTTCAAAACACACGGTTTGATTGAAGTTCAAGTATGACTTGTTAACTCTAGTTTGTTTTGATATTTTCATGACGAGACAACCCTAGAGTTAGTCTAATGAATGATGTCCCATGCCTAAGGCCAGCAACCCTTTTTTTTTTGTATAATCTCGTGATGAGACTTTATCTACTTTCCTCAAAGTTTTGAAAAGCCAAGACCTGTACAAAGTCGGCGAAGCTTCCTTGCACATTTTGAATTAACTAGTATTATGTACTCTTCATCTGCTGTTGGCCAACTTCGATCAAACTTCAATGACAATGCATTACAAGTAAATTACTTCTGTGACCGAGTGTAATGGTGGTCTTGAGAAACTATCAGTCCATAATTTCATGTTATCTTTGAACTGAACTGCGTGATTTTCACAGAGCTAGGTTTTACACATAGGTAGCTTTCGGGATGACTCAATATACAGGATTGTATCGTGACTTTTAAAAGAAGCATTATGTGGGATATCTTTTAAATTATGTGAACCAAAAGGTTAACACGCTGTTCTCCTTTATTTAAGGACAGCTGCATCCCATCTTCGGCCTTTTTTCATTTCTACCTCTTTCATTCTTCAAACCCATTCTTTCTCCCTCCAGCCTCAGAGGGAACTACATCTTACTTCGTCTTTGATCTCAACATTAGCCTCAACAAAATGAACGGCTCCAAGCTCTGCTGGAAGAGCTATGATGACGACGGTGTTGTCAATAGCTTTTTCATAGAAAAGGGTATGCCATGTCCAAATCTGTTGAAGAAACTGGAGGGTCTTGGGACCCTTGAGAAGGTGACCCCCGACTTGTTGCAGGAGTTAAGCTCCGATAAGTTCTGGTTTGTCATCGCGTTCATTCTTTTCAACTACTTCATGATCAGAAAGCAGCTCAACCCGAAGTCAAACGACAATACCAAGGACCAAGAATCTGTCAATTCTACCACCAAGTTCAAGGCCCTGGGTTGGATTCAGCGCAATGACAGAAACCGAATTCGTGCCATCGTCTTTTCGAGCTGGATGATCTTCCTTCAGATCAGCTATGGAGCCCCTGCCTGCACAATGGTTTACATTCTGGCTCACCGAGAATATTTGGCGAACAGTGAATGGACAAAGCCCTACATCTTGAGCTTGATCTTGGTCGCTATCCGCTTTTTAATGTTCGGGCTCTCCGTTTTTGGCTCCCTACTCGTATGGGTGCATGTTTTGAAGGTGCAAGCACGATATATACGTGCTCTCATACGCCTTGAAATTCCACCCGAGCAGAACACCAAGGATGAGAGTTCGGTGCCTCAAGAATTTCCAGCATCTGCTCCTCTGGCATCTACTCCTCCAGCCTCTGTCCCAGCGACAAATTCTCAAAAGCCAGCTCTACAATTCCCTATGCCACCTACTATTAGTAGACCTGTTCTTGAGAAGCTTGCTCAGACAGCTGCTTTTCAACAGACTGGCCCAAAGACTCCCCCGGAGAGTCGCTGGGAAACCCTTCCTCAACGGCCCCAACTGGAGAGTTTTGATCAGAAGCGTGCCAAGAATATTCCCAAAAGGCACATCCCAACTCCTGTCTTTCCTCTCAAAGCTCCCGGAATCGATTGCACTCACCCAGTGACAACTGCTCAACAGCCTACCTCTACAACGAGTCAGCAGGGTTCCCAAACAACACCTCCTCACCTTTCATACAATTCCTTGACAGGAAATGCACCGCCGTCCTGTACGGATTCTACCACAAACCGCGCAAACGATATCAGCGTTCGCGATGAAGCTTTTAATGCATTATTTAGACAGTTCAAGGCATCCGCCAAGTCTCGTCAAGATCAAGGGGCTTTCAACACCACGCCTGCTTCCAGCCCCACAGGACGGGTACCAGTAGGACAAGCTTTTGAGGAAAATGCCTGGAAGCCCTCAGGGTTTCCTGCTCAATCTGCAGACTGGGAACACGTCTACCACGAAGAGGGAGAGTCGGGTTCTCAATAAGTAGCATGGAAAACAGTTTGAAGGATGTGTGCTTTCTATAGACAAACGGATGATAATAGAAATTTAATGCTTTTGACCTATCTTATACTGTTGTACGTGTGTCCCACCATCAAAGCAAGCCTCCAAGCTTGTGGAAGTCGCTAGACAAGCCCCGTTGGCTCAGTGGTAAAGCGTATCACTAGTAATGATAAGATCACTGGTTCGATTCCAGTACGGGGCAAGCGAGACAATCTTTTGCTGTTTCGTCTTTCTGTGTGTTCAGTTGTTTTTATTGTTGCTCGTGATACTTGTTTTGGTGTTGACGTGAGAGTTCCCTTTTTTTTTTTTTTTTTAGGCAAATTACCAAACTGGGAGTTAAAGTTCAGGCAAGAGCTTCAGCGGTCTTTCCTCCCCTCCACGACGATCCATTTTGGGATGTGACAGAGCTTGTCCTTCCAATTGGTAACTTGACCATCAATTGTGTCCCGCATACAGATAGACTAGACGTCTTAGCATTGCGAAGGGGGTTATTTGGATGCGTTTTATGTGTAATGCTGATATCATCAAAGTCGCAGGGCCGCAGCTTAGAAGGATCGGTTCAAATAAAGCAATGCGAAGCAGTAAACAGTGAGATTTATATGTGCGTAGCGCAAGTAAAGGTGATATTATACGTAATGTTGATTGAATGCAATCACCAATAAGACATTCCATCATTCAAGGTGTAATTTTGCAGGCTAAAGCTCTCTGCCCAGAAAGGAAATGACAGGTCCCTCCCTTGCACATGCCCTTATTGCCATCGACATCGCCATCATATCTCTTTGCCTGTGTCGTTTTCGCAGTTGAACTCCCAGGTGATGCTCGTAATATTTATCGTATTTACTTGGTAGGTGCCTTGGGTTCACCAGACGCGTCGAGGGTGGGCTTACCCCCTCTGTAGAACCACCAGAACCCACCGCCAATAGCGAGAGCACCGGCGACGAGAATTTTGTTACTAAGATTCCAATGTCAGTCCAACTCGTTATACCTCAATTCGTATATCCATACTGGTTCTGGTTCTGCTTGGGCGGCTTCGCCTGGTATGGCTCGGAATCACGGAGGATGCTCGAAGTGCGGAGTCCTCGTTGGGCTGCAGGGAGAGGTCGAAGGACGACAGCAGAGCGAGCGACACGAGTGAGGAGAGGAGACATTTTGACAGTCAATGAGTATGTTATCAACAATTGACAAGATTGATAGTCAGTAATGGACCCGCAGATCTGAAGGAGATGGTGAACGGAACGGAGCTAAGGTAAGTATCAAGGAGGAAGACGCCTCCACTCGCGTCGGGAACTCGTCTCTCTTAAAAGAGGAGGTGAACCGTTACTTGCGGGGAATTTCTTGCCGTCATTGATGCGTGACGAGGCGCACGTCTGATATTATCCAGGTCTTTTGCAAAGTCACATCATGGTATTTGGAGAAGCTGTTTGGGGGCATGTAAGCCGTGCCGTGAGCCGCCACAGTACAGAGAAGGGACTTGTCGAGTACACCACAGAACCCCGGATCTTCCCCAGACGGCAGTCCGGTAGGTAGCATTTTCAGGGATGGGTACCCCTGATTTAGGCGTCTTTGGCTTTTGACTGGATCAAAGTAGCCGTTGTGTCTTGGGATGGCGGGCAAGTGCGGAGATGGAGGCTTGGAATCGGCTGATGAGTGTTGCATTGATTGATTGATGGAGGGGCTTTTGCATGTTGTCTCAATTGACCTGTTCACCGCCTCAGCCACCATGTCATGTGGTAGCTGTTTCCACATTCTCGAAGTGATATGTCTTCAACATTGATTCTATTCATACAATTCATAAGAGGTTAATAATGGGTCCATTTCTATTCTAATCCATCAATATCCACTCTCTAGCAGGGGTCTTTCTTCGGCAGCTAAAGCTTGACCCACTCAGTTTGAAGATCTCAAGATGAGGTTTGAAATGTTGGTTCACGATGCAAAGAGTGACACAATTGAAAGTTCCAAGGAAACTTATTCAATTGTTGCTTTTATAGTTTCAATCTTAGCAAGAAATAACAGATTTTAAGACAAGAATACCGCTTAACAAGGAATCCCCGATTCCACATAGTCACAGACAAGGAACGGAACAGTTCGTATCCATTCCCGACATCACGCAACTCCTTCAATTACTCAGGTCACAGATCCCCTGAAAGAAACACGTGGAGATGGTTTAGTTTTAGCGGAACTGTGTGATACGAAAATTCAACCGGAAATGCGCCCTTGTTGGTGGTGATCAACATCTCATGTCGTAAATTAGTTTCTGCCATATCTACTATGAAGCTCCTTGCAAAAGAACGCAGGGCCGAAGATAGGCAAGATTTCTCACTTATTTCTGTAAAGGACAAAGTTGATAATACGTATTATCCGGACTTGTCATGCTCTTGAGTCTGTTACAACTCGACTACTTCAACGAACTTTACAACATTACAACATACCAACACCCCAAAAAAAGAGCAGTCCCCGTGGAACAATAAACGCCTTGTTCGAGCACTGGGAAATTCAATGGAGGGGTCTGGTTGTTGAGTGCCAATAATTTGGACCCTCAATCAGGTTACATCCAACCTGGTTTATTTGAGCTCCAGAGATCTGGTTAGACACATCATTGGCTTTTTATTGCCGTTGCAATGACGTACACTTCGGCTCCTGAAACCATTGCTATACAACACGAAGATGAATCGCCAAAAGTCGCCATAACTATATCTCAAGCCTCCGATCAGCCAAAGTACAAATTTCCATCTCTATTTAATACAGGGTAAGCCCCTCACTCATCTGAACCCCTATTCCCACATGCATTACCCACCCCCACCTAACCTCACCGTTCCCGCCCATCAACAGTTTCCCTTTTCGGTCACCGCCTTTAAAAGTGTCCCCTCCACCCACTCCCCCCAGCAAAACACCAAGATCAAGCTCAACTTCACCTCTCTCCACGAGCTTCTTCTTCCTCTCTTCTCCCCAATTCCCACTCTCCATCAAACAACAGCAACCATGTCTCTCCACGTCCCCATGGCCCATCGCACCAAGGACCAGGGCGCCACAAAGGCCGTCATCCTGGTATAGCTTCACCCTCCCCACCCCTCTATAAACATGCTGTTCTAACAGAGTACATGTTCTAGGTCGGCGGCCCTTCTCGCGGCACTCGTTTCCGCCCTCTCTCCCTCGACGTGCCTAAGCCTTTATTCGAAGTCGCTGGCCACCCCATCATCTGGCACTGTCTCTCCTCCATCGCTCGCGTCCCCAACAAGCAGATCCAGGAGGTCTACATCATCGGCTACTACGACGAATCTGTCTTCCGCGACTTCATCAAGGACTCCGCTAAGGAGTTCCCCGCCATCACTATCAAGTACCTTCGCGAGTACGAGGCTCTTGGAACCGCTGGCGGTCTCTACCACTTCCGTGATGCTATCCTCAAGGGCCGCCCTGAGCGCCTCTTTGTTCTCAACGCTGATGTTTGCTGTTCGTTCCCCCTCGACGAGATGCTTAAGCTATTCAACGATAAGGATGCTGAGGCTGTCATTCTCGGAACACGTGTGAGCGATGAGGCTGCGACAAACTTCGGTTGCATTGTCTCCGATTCTCACACCCGCCGTGTTCTGCATTACGTCGAGAAGCCAGAGTCGCGAATTAGCAACCTGATCAACTGCGGTGTCTACCTCTTCTCTACCGAGGCCATCTTCCCCTCTATCCGCTCCGCCATCAAGCGCCGCCTCGACCGACCCTCTCGTCTCGTCTCCTACCCCTCTTCCGATAACCTCGAGAACAGCTTCGTCCTTCCTGACGACGACGATGATGATGAAGAGAAGAAGAGCGAGGTTATCCGCCTGGAGCAGGATATCCTCTCTGACATGGCCGACAACAAGCAGTTCTACGTCTACGAGACCAAGGACTTCTGGCGCCAGATCAAGACTGCTGGCTCCGCTGTTCCTGCCAACGCTCTCTACCTCCAAAAGGCTGCGCAATCCGATCACAGCGAAGAACTTGCCACTCCTAGCGCAAACATCGTTCCTCCTGTTTTCATTCACCCTACAGCCGAAGTGCACCCCACTGCTAAGCTCGGCCCCAACGTGAGCATTGGCCCTCGTGCTCACATTGGCGCTGGTGCCCGTGTCAAGGAGAGTATCGTACTCGAGGACTGCGAGATCAAGCACGACGCTTGCGTTCTTTACTCTATTATTGGCTGGGGTAGCCGCGTTGGCGCCTGGGCTCGTGTTGAGGGTACCCCTACCCCTGTTGGCAGCCACTCAACCAGCATCATCAAGAATGGTGTCAAGGTCCAGAGCATCACCATCCTTGGCAAGGACTGCGGTGTCGGTGACGAGGTCCGCGTACAGAACTGTGTCTGCTTGCCCTACAAGGAGTTGAAGAGGGTAAGTTCCCAATTCCAATCATGTAATGAGCACCCTGCTAACAGAGTTATAGGATGTCACCAACGAAGTCATCATGTAAACGAATCTCGTTTCTACAATTTAGACTAGTGCAAAAAGTTTGCGTTTGATCTTCTATGAAAGAGGCGTCAGATATCCCTTAAAAGTTGAGGCCATCAAAGCATAATGGAGGATGTATATAGGAGTGATATCCTGGGAACAAACTGGTTCCCGTCAGGCCACATCAAGAGGAATGACTATTCACTAAAGCAAGTAAAACAGCGATAATGGACTTGTATTCTTGTCCAAGCCTCCCTACCAAATTTTCAACTCGGAAGCTGTGATTTGTGGGAAACACCGTTCCCATCCTTTCTAGTCTTGATCTAAGATTCAGGTTTCTCTAACCAGGGGTATACTGTCATACCGCACCTCCTCAGAAGTGGGTGTTTTTCCTATCGCCAACCATACCTACCGGAATATGAATGAGTGATAACCACTCCAGACCGGCTATGCAAGCTGTTCTATCTATCCAAGAAATGTACCAATGAGATCCTGGCTATATATAATGCTACTGCAAGGATGTGCGATTCATGTCTTCGTTCAACTTCATGATAATGAAATCTCGAATACGAATTTTTGTATTCGAGTGTATAACGTGGTGTTTTGATCAATCTATATTGAAAGATCAATCGTCTCTCTTAAAGTTGGATCGGCTTGGCGTTCTGGGCAGCAGTGGTGTGCTTGGTCGACTTGTGGTCAACCCCATAGGGCTTTCCATGGGATTGACGGTCAGTCGGTTTGCCAAATTACGAGGGGTTTGGAACGGCTCAATAGCCGGCTTCTCGAAGCTATGGATCTGGATCGGTGGAGGACGACGGATAGCCCTATCTGAACCATTATAGATCCAAGTAGAGAGAAGAACAAGGAATGTGCCAATGACAAACTGCAAACTGTGTTAACATCCATGTGTTATGACCACAACAAAGGAACTTACTGTTGCTGACACCTCGAACTGGAACAACATGATGCTGATCAAGAAGCTGATGACAATGCTGATGCTTGTCGCAAAGTTCTTGACAATATTATCCGTGTCCCGAATTACAACGCTCGCCAACATGCCACCGGCAGCTTGGAGCACAACGGCACTCCACACGACCCAATTGTAGCCCTCGAAAAAGCCGTGCTCGCTGATTCCCTCACCATCCTGCCAAATTACACCACCAAGGCCGGCAGCAAAGATGGAATAAAAGCTTAGCTGAACATTTCGGATCCAAACACTGGCTTGGGTGGGACTCTCTTTGAGTAACTTTTCAAAGTAAACACCAGTTAAGCCGGATACCGTAGCAGCGACAAGAACAGAGACTAAGCCAACCGAGTAATTCATGAGAGGATCCAGAGGCGGCAGGTCATGGTCAATGCCTTGATAGGTTGCAGATCGCTTAGCTAGATTTCCAGCCTGGCTGTTGTCGGTGGGCACGTGTCCAAGCTCATGGAGCGAGCGGGGGAAGAAATGGTCCGTCATGTGGCGGAGAGGAATGCTGGATGAGCTCGAAGATGAGCCGGCTTGAGGAAGTGACACAACACATACGCCTAGCGTCAAGATGATGAGGGCAAGCCAGCGCTTGGGTCCCAAGTGCCGCCGCAGCAGCACAACACTGAATAGGGCAGTGATGAGAATCTTCAAAATAGGTCAGAACGAATTCTGATAGGGCTGACTTTGCCAAGGTGAATGTGATTTGGTGGTGAGACATACCTTGAGCTGATACAGCACTTGAAAGTGCACCGCATCCAAGTTACCCACAGCGACATACTGCAGCATATTCTGCAGGGTATAAAAGGCAGCTGTCAATGCGAGTTTCCACCCATCACCTGCAAAGACAGAGTTATAGATTTGCTCGAAAAGGACTGTCGCGGGTGTCGTAGGGGCTAGGGTCTTTGAGGTATCGTAGATGGCCAAAGATAGCGAAACAGCGAGCTTGATAATCTCGTTCAGAAAGACAGCGGTCGAAGTAAAGTAGCGATGATCGCCACTCGGAGGCATAACGCGAGAGTAGTGCATGATCTAAAGGCAACGTTAGCTGAGCCTAGGATGATGTGTTGCGACAAAGGCTTACCAAGATAAGGGCCGAGTTCTGAAAGGTCAACTGGAATAGCACGTCAGTACCAGAATCAGAGAATTGCTATATTACCAAAGAGCATAGCAAGCAACCAAGTGTGAAGTTCGTACCGTTGTCAAAGCCCACTGCTTCTTGCTCAGACCCAGGAAGCCACCCTGGCTAGCAGGCGGCGCCTTAGGGAAGGCCTCCAGTATCGCCATTGTAAAGTCGAAAGAAGAGCTGAGTGTGTCGATGTGATGCAAAAGGAGTGTAATATCGAGAGAAATTGGCCAGTAGTAAGAGAGCAATGCGCTCTGAAACTGCGATGGGGGCTTTGCGACACTGGCTGGATAGACGATGCGACAATGGGCGGAATTCGAATTCTTTGCGATGGCTCGAGCGCCAATCAACCACGTCCACCAATTTTTCTGTGCTCGCTTTCGTATGATAAGGTAGAATGGTGTGATATCGAATATTCGGATCGTGTATCAATATTGTAAATGTTCCTGTTGCAGATCCAAGTGCCCCTCCGCGATCGCAATCACGTACTGCCAAGGCTCGGGAGCCAATCTTTTGGGTGATATCGTCACTGCCAGTCGACGTCGGGTATCCGTGCTCGCTGTTCGTACTTCTCGAAATGCCAGTTCTAAGGAAGAAATGAAAGAGAAGAAGGACAAAAGGGGAGGAAAGAGGCGGGGAGCACCTTCAAAAAAGGAAGTCTCCGTTCTTTACAGAATAGGATAAGGTAGGTAGGAAGGATACAGTGACCCTGGGGTAGTGCAAAGGAAGGAAGCACCACAGCCCGCCCAGCCTACAAAGGAACTGTGAACTGTGAACTGTGAACTGTGAAATGTGAAATGTGAACCCCTTGCCTTACTTGCTGTTGGTTTTTGTCATAAAAATAGGACCCAGACCTATGCCCAGCCAGGTAAGGCAGGAAGGCATGTGGCAGTTGGTGCATCTTCTTCCCCACTGGTCAAGCTCTGTATGGGTGGGCGGGGATCTGACAGAGCAGGAATCAGGGGCAGTTGCATCTTTCCTTGGTGTTGGAAGTGTTTTCAGCAGGGCAGGGAGTAAAAATTTCATGCATAAGAGATGGGATTGGTCGAATTTTCAATGCATTTTACTTAGCAATAGGAGCAATAATTAATTAATTTTCAATAAATCGTTAATAAACCTTTACAATTTTCAACGTTGCAGTCATTAACTTTAATAACCCCTGTTTAAGTTGCCCCGGCCCCTTTATTATCCCTGTCCACTGGGAAGCAACCCGTGCCTTTTTGTTCATGCCAGGAACCAGGAAAAAAAAGTTTTGCAACATGCGGATACCGGTAGATTTAACCGAAAATCTTGTCTGATATTCTGAGTGTATAATGCACAGATCGTCTGTCTCTTGTCCTCGTTTCATAGCAATCGACAGATCTATCCACAGGGCGGTGGAAGAACAAGGCGCATCCCTGTTAACTTCTGAACATGATCAGAGAGTATTATGTTACAACCGTGAATCATCGGTACGAAAAAGCCGAGGTTATAATAAGCTACTTGACCTCTAGTACAGCTACTAAACGAGGCTATATGGTCAAATACGATGTAGTCAATCACCTTCCAATTTCAACATAAATATCTAAACCAAATCAATCTCACTTCGGATCTCGAACTAAATTCGTCGTTCCCCTCCCCGGCTCCGATCCCACCGGCGCCGATCGTCATCCAAACCCCACATACTCCGCAGCTCTTCTCATCAAACACGTCCAAGCACAAAAACCCAACCTGCTATGTTTTGTTTCGTACGTCATTTGCTTCCGGGGAATAACATCCTTTACTAATATGATATGTTTCGACGTCGACAATCTCCAGCTTCACACATACGGTATCCTCTAATGGCGTCATTTATCTTACCAAACTTACCTGCTTCTGCACTGCTTAGTGACGTACATCGTGCGTCCTCCACATATCATATATGCAGCACCACCAGCCACGTAGACATCCATCCATGATTTTTCACGTCAAAAACGCGCCTTAGACGTTGTACGACCGTACCCATGTGTGACATCTGCCGTCGCCCGACGCAGGCGCCTTTTTCTTGTGCCCAGCCAAAATGTCTTTCTCTGTCTCAGCTGTGAAAGATAGGCACACCCGTGATACATTATAGAGCACTTACACTCACCGCTCTGATGATAGTGATGGTTTCTCACTCACGCACAAACAATCTCATTTGGAAAGCAAACCTCGTCTTCTCTTTGTGCTGCCTCGACCCGCGAGGCGGTGAGCTCAATTGTCTGTACATGTCGTACCCTGATCCTAAGTTGTCCCTTCAATCATCTTGCAAACAACTAAAATCTGTTTCCCACCCATATCCTGCAAATCCTGAAAATTCGGCTAGTACTTTCTCCCAGAACCAAAAAAAAGAGCATCCATTGGCTTCATCCGCCACGTCCTTCCCCATCCACGTATTGCCTGATATCAAGTGCGGATTCCCGGACTGTTCGCTCACGTCCGGCGTCATTGACTCCCAATTTTCGTGAACCGACTTCTTTTCCTCTTCAGGATCATTCTTGTGCTTGACACTGTTGCCTGAGTCAGTGTTATCATAGTCCACGATGCGTTGATCACCGTTTGGAATAGCCCCAACTCCGGTTGGCTGAAGACCAAGTTGCGTGCGAAGTTGTATATTCTGGGCGCGAAAGTTCCAGACACTCTCCCGAGGCAGGAACATACTGGCGCTCAAGCTGTGCACTGGGACATCGTCGACTCGGCGATACTGGAAGTCGCCCGCACTGTCGAGGTGGTCGAAAAAGGCAACGTGATGAGGGCTGCGGAAGAAGGCCAGGGATCCAATATCAAACGTTGGATAAAGACTGTTGCCGTAAACTTCACTTAGCCAAGTCGCAAAGGACCCACCAATCCAAGATGCTCCCTTCCCTTCATTCTTGGTATTGCTGTCGTGAGCCGTCTCATCCTGTGACCTATTAGTGTCCGAGCTGCGTTGACCACTAGGGCGGCTCTCCTAAATGACCCGCGACCCCAGCTTGTCACTGCCCTCGTCCACCAATCCTTCAGAGCTGTCATCGGATGAGCCTGACTGAATAGCGAGACCTGTGCCGTTTTCAATAAGCCATGTGATATCAGCCTCTTTGTGGAGGAGCTCTGGGTGCTTGTCAATGAAAGACTTGACGCGAGAAAGATGATACAAATTGGCTTGGCCAAGGACAGCTCGGTTGAAGCCATAAGCAATACCGTTGTCTCGCATGTAACGGAAGACATCGAAAGGAATGTCTTGGCTAAGAGAAGCCTGCTTGTGTCAGCTCCTGATCATTTTTCAATGCATAATTGTGGCTGTTTCGGGAACCACTTACACCTGGCTCTACTCTCCAGAACCATTCATAGTTGCGGAGACGTCGCTCGTTAGCAAAAGGAGCCGAGCTCCATCGCTTCATCTGGCGGATGTCGGCGATGGGTTTAAAGGACTTTGGGTTGCAGTCAGAGTTGATTTCGTGAGAGTCCGAAAGTTGGGAGTGATCAGTCCAACCGGGCATGTTCCAGTTCTCCTCGGGAATAACCTCAAAGATACAAGTCGCATTGGTAGCGTTGGAAGTGAGCTCCTTGAACCTATCTGGAAGGCCCTGGACGCTGAAGAAGACCCAGTCGTACAAGTGGCGGTTGTTGAACTTGTCTTCGATCTGTTGGATACTGAAGAGCGTAGCAGTGAGATCATCTTCCTGGACGAGAGTCACCAAGGCTGCCTTGAGGGGGGCATCAGCAGACGAGGGCAAGGCTGAGCCACACACAAACAGGGTGAAGTGAAGAAGGGTAAGGGCCCCTGCCCACAAAAGAGTGAAGCGAAGAGCTTTTGCCATGATGAAGGTGGTGATAAGGTTGAGCGTTCAGGGGAAGAATTGTCAAATGCCTTGAACGAAGAGAGGAACCGAAGGGTTGAAGGCCGTAAAAATGAAGGCTATTGAGTACCTTAGGTAGATGAAGTGCAAGGTGAAGAGGAGGAGGGTTTGAAAAAGGAGTACGAGAATGAAAGGAGTGTAAAGGCACCTTAGGTACCGAGCACAGAAACGTTCTAGATGTGCTAAAGAGAAGAGATTGTGCTTGTGATTGTGATTGCTTTCGATTCCAGGTTCGAAGTAGAATAACGAATCAAAGGATGAAGAATAAGAAGAATGAAGTAAGAGAAGAGTGAAGACAAAGGGGGGGGGGCTTGGTACCTACTAATAATCCTCCACCTTCTGGTTATTGTATCCTCAGGCGAGATGCAGGTTGGCAGGTGATTCAATGTGGAGGCGGACGTGGACGTGGCAGCTGCGAGCAGGTGCAGTATCTTACCTCATCAAGACACTAAACACCAGCTTGATAAGAAGAGAAGTAGTTGCCCAAGGGCTCTGGAGTGGCCGGAAGAAAAGATCCGGGCCGAGAAGCTCAGAAACAACAACAGACCGGTGTTGGTGATGCACTCATTTGCCCACTCACGATAACATCATGCTGTTCCCTCGCCTCCACTCAACGCCACTCTTCGCCAAACATGGCATGTGATCATGAGCCGCACCAATCTCAGTCGGTTGTGTTACAGAGGAAACAATGAAAGATAACGGTGTGTCTAGAATCACCTTGCTCACCCACATAAACCATTTGTCATGAACTTCACCAATCAATACACTCTCAGGATGGTACTGCATGGTTGTGTTTGCATGCCCTCATTAACCAGGCTTTCTTTCGTATCAACGAGCACCAACAGTAGTCTATCGCCTGCCTGTACCCCAAGTTCGCACCGCTGGACCATCAGATCCCCAGTAGATAAGCCTCAACGCCATATTTGCCTGTTAAACAAAAAGAGTGCCCGCCGTCCTCGCCCCTGTCACCGCATAGGAACGACATGCATTACGATAATGATACAACCTAAACTAAGCCTTTTGTTTAAGCCTCCACATCCATTTGCTCAACGTCTACTGAGCCGTCCTCTAGACTTATGTCGAGTATTCTTGCGTATTGAAGTGTCAATCGCTGAAGCTCACGATATTTGCCTGTTTGTTGTTAGTTTGTCTAACTTTTGCCATAGTGACCTCAATAACAATAACTTACCAAGAATCATAACTACACCTGTGAGCAGCTCCTTTCGATCCCATCCACAGATGTCACCTTCTTTGCTGAACCACCCGTGACCGTCTTCTTCTTCTTCATCCTCTTCGTTGTCTTCGAGGATGCCACCAAGAAGACTGTTAAGGAGCTCTTCAACCTTGACCCTTGCCCCCTCGGCGCCCAAGCGCTTCGCATACATAAAGAGATATAGGCGAAATTCTTCCCGTGCTTCAAGTTGTAGAGCACCAGCGATTCTCGTCTCCAGGTGGGCAATGCTGACACTGCTTTCGAGATTTTCGGACTCCTTCCGCTGTACGACCGTCTTGATGATGCGCTGCAAGCTATATGATCTACCCTTGAGCAGAAATTCGTTGGTTGTATGCCGCTCGAGGAAAGGTATGATGCCTGACGACACAGTGGCTTTGGGAGACTTCTTATCTTGTCTGTCCTTAGAATCCGGGCCAACAGCTGTAGATTGCAAAGCTGAAATGGAGGAATCGTTAGAGTTCCAATATTGTGAGCCCACAGCCCACCAAGCTTCACTTAGGCGTTGCCATGTATACATTTCTCGAGCGTAGCAGTAGCCATCACCATTGGTCAGAGTCACAATGATGTGGCCGGTGCTGTTGAGATGGGCAGAAGTAACACCAGGACCAGCCGTCGCGCTGTGTTGGTTGAGCGATATTGTGGCGATATCCAGGATTGGCCCCAGCGACACTGGAGGGTTGGGAGACGACTGGGTTTTCATGTCCCAAACGTGAGCAAGGCCGACAGCTGTAATGCATAGCAGCCAGTGATCGCGAGCTTCCAGGATAACAGGCTGCGACTCAAGTATGATAGGGGTGAGAAGCCTTCTTCCAGCAGAGGTCCAGGTATGCACAGATCCATCTTCGCAAGCCACAGCCCAAAAGTGTTTCGTCGCTGTTACTAGAATGACATCTCTGGGAAGCCACTCTTCCCAAATAAGAGCGCCCCTTTTGCTGACTATGACATGCGAAGGATTGCCATAGGTGGCATCATTCTTCACTTCCATAATTATGTTTTCTGGAGTTTTTGTTGCATCTTCCAAGGAGCTCTCACCCTGTAAAACTCCTCTGTCCAGCGGTCGAAGAATATGTGATCTGATCTTTGGTACAGCTAATCTGACTTGAGCGAAGGACATAGAGAGATTCATGACTGCGGGCCTGAGGAATTCAGGAGTGGGAACAACCCCATGCTGAACAGGTACAAGGGCTGCTGGCTCGACCCCATTAGGACCATCAGTGACGATAGGTGTAGGGCCTGTTGCAACACGCTTTGCAACCGGCTCCTCTTCATCTTCGTCATCACCCAGGTTGATCTGCCTTTTGTTACCAAGCAACATGGCGGCAATACCTCCTTTGGGCAGTCCGTCATAAGGCTTGCTCATGTCAAGTATTGTCTGCGGTGTATCATTTTGCGTAGCCTTATTGGTACTTGTTGTTCCAACCAACTGAGTTTGAGGCAATGAAGACGTGCCTGTCCCTGATGATGATACCAACAAAGGTGCAACTCTCTTCTTGCCATCTTTACCGATAGTGACCCGCGATTTCAATTCCTTGACACGTTCGGCTGTCTTGTTAGCTGCCTCTTCTGGCTGCTTCTCTGATTCGTTTTCTGGCTCAGCTTGGCCATTCGTCGATGGTTTCGCTGAAGACCCATTGGGTTTAGGGCCATTGGCGACAGGTGTTGACTCCTTTGTTGACTCAGAAAAGTCTCCCATGAGTGCACCCATCCTCGACTCTACAGCCCGTGACTCTCCTTCTTTACTCTGGTTTTCCAGAATAAGGCCATCAACGTCCTCAGCTATACCCATTCCTTTTCGCGACGCGCCGTATTTCTGGAGCGCTTTGACGTTCTCCTCTGGTTGCGCTACCCAGCCGAGCTCTCCCTCCTCGAAATTTACAACCACAATGCTACCGTCTAGACTGGAAGCAAAAATGGTCTGACCATCCGGAGTCCACGCCAAGTCAGATATTGACTTGCCTGCCAAATCTTGACAGACGACCACCGGCCTGGACGTATTTGTGTTCCATATACTCAAAGTCTTGTCCTGGCCAGCTGATGCAATCACTGTCACGAGCGATGTCGCGGCCCCATCGGCTGCACTTGCATCTGGCTTTGACGTGTGAAACAGACGGGGGGAGAACATGCACACTTCCGTTGGGGCTTCATGGCCGATAAGGTTGATTTCACTGTCCCATCTTGTCCGCTCGATGATAGCAACAGAGCTCACGGGGCCGTTCACAGCGTTGGCAGCTGCGATATGATTACCATCGGGGGACCACGAACATCGTCGAAAGTAGGTAGTTAGGGGCGAGCTCTTGAATGGTGAGCTAATGGTCGTTTCAAGAACAAAGTTATTAACCATGTCGTGCTGTGTCGCATTAGGTGCAGGTGAAGTAAATCGAAAGATTTTGATCGTTCGGTCGTCGCTTGCGGTTGCAAAGAATTTGTTCGCAGGATCGAAGGTGATACCCTTGACATGACTTTGATGCGCTGGCAGAGTCTTGAGCTTCTCGAAGGTATGACCGGACCAGACAACGACCTTTGAATCAAGGCCAACAGAAACCAGTATCGAAGAATCATATGACCATGCGAGATCCTGAACATCATTGTCGTGACCAATTAAACGTTTGTATGTCTTCCAGTTCTCGACAGGAGGAGGCTCATTGGTGCCAAAAGTGGCAGCTGGGGGCCCTTTATCGAGGTGGTATACGCAGATAATCTTGTCGTCCGCTCCACTGGCAAGATAACGACCATTAGGCGAGAAGCGAACCGAGTGAATTGTTCCAAGATGATGGCTCATGTGGCAGAGCTGGCGCGGCTTGTTGAACTTTGGTGTGTCGGCATTGTAGATACTTTCGGTCGACCAAACGCGGACGTGTCCATCGCCGCCAGCAGTCGCGAGTCGTTTTCCATCCGGAGAGACATGACAGCTGTAAACCTCGAAATCCTTTTGCTCGCCGCTATGGCTTAGCCATGAAGGCTTGATCATACGCATTATGGAAAGTAGAGTGGCATGCCCGGGAACGAATCACGTTTGAGTCGAGGGCGATGCTGTGAATACAACTTGAAGTTGATAATACTTGTCGCGATCAATTCGAATGCGATGCAATCAATTCGGTCGGTGGAAATAATTGACGTTGTTTGAAGATGCTGATGAGGATGGAGTTTGGCTTAAATTGGAGTTAACGCGATGTCGCGTTTTTTGGGCCCAAGCCAGTCAATCAAAGACGCAGGGTCAGCTCTTCCTCGTCCATCACAATGGACCGGCACCCCGGGAGGCAGTGGACAAAATTAGGGGATTTCGTCACAGAGCAGTTTCTTTCAGAGCTCCTAGCAAATGCCGCGCAGCTTAATGATTGGTCAAATCGGAGTAACTTTGATGCGCAGACTCTCCCTGCACTTGCCCGTGTAAGTCAACTATTCCTCACCGAGTCCTTTTTGTTCAACACGTTCTAACGGCACAATGCTACGATAAGACGGATCAGTCAATCATGTTCTTAGTTTCAAAACAGGCTCAAAGGTGGGTTACCAACATGTTGGACCTACCACCACATCCAAAATCACGAGACTCTTGAGTGCTTCTACGCGACTCACAAGCTTTGGAACGTTGAGGAGTAGATCTCACCCAATCTTCACCCCTGGCATTATGCCAAAAAGGTTGGATGCAAGGATCGCCCTACCACTCCCGCTACCTCTAAATCACACGCTCTGGACCGGTCAGACACTTTTTGAGAGACAAGTGTCACTCTGCCCAGTCGAAGTCAAGGGTTTTTGAATGGCTTATGTTGTTACCATGATTGAGATACCGGAATGTTTAAGTTTATGAATAGAGTCATGATCAACTCATCGTGCTTGTCAAGGGTTGGGCTGTGCTGTGCTGTTTAGTGGCTGGCCTACTCGGCAGCAGAGTTCATACTGAGAAGTTTGTTCGGCGTGAGAGTTTTCAACAAGCACATGTAAAAAGGTAGTTCATTCACAGCCTCAAATTCCTGAACCTTGACCGCTCTTCGGTGAGCTAGTCAAGATTACTTTTCTGTGCTGGCCCTTCTCCTTACATGACCGACGCACTGACTTTCTTTGCGGCCATGTTCTTTGACTCACGAATATATAAGGGTGAACACCACGAATTGTTCTTGATCCTTCAACTCATTCATATTGTTCATTATGGAACTGTCTACTACAAATCGTGGCCCATTAGGGGCTCCAGCCTCTTCTGGCTGCTCAACAGCATCTCTGCTCTCGTCCCTGAGAAACTATCATCACTTTCAGGTCGATAAACATTTTCACCGTCGAGAAAAAGCCCCTGCGATCCCTGCGTCTCCCGAGCCCAGCATGTCGATACCGCAGTCCATATGTGTCGGTATCGAGTTGGAGTTTATGGTTGCACTGCAGATACCAGACTCCGACGCTGTGACTGGTGAGACTCGATGGGCCTGTCCTACAACGCCGGAAGCTTTCCTGGGCCTCGTGATGGGAGACTACAAAGACATCGAACCGTCTTGTATTCACAAGGTATGCGAATTGATTGCCAGCAACGGGGTCCCCGTCTCGTGTAGCCTCATACCTCCTTCGCCATTCAGCCCTGCACAGATCCCTGGCACTGCAATTCTTCCGCTCACAGATAACAGCGGTGACATTCGAGCTTGGAATAATGAGTCTGTTAGTGGACCAGTCTCAAAGACCGATTTTTGGTTTATTGTTCCAGAGCGTCACATCACCAGAGACTGTGTTAGTAAGTCCGGAATGACACCTTCAAACAAGTACGACTGGTATGGAACTGAACTCAACAGCCCTATCCTCACTCGTCCTGAAGAGTTCAGTCAGGGGCTACCTACCCTCAGAAAGTGCCTTGCGGCAGTGCAGGGCGACATGGTAGTTGGACTCAATTCTGGCTGTGGACTACACCTTCACGTTAACGACGCCGGCAGCATGCAGCTAGAGACTGCGCTGCGCCTTGCAACTTTGGTATGGCTGCTTGAAGATTCTCTGCTGTACCCTCTGTGCCATCCTTTTCGCTCCGACTCCCCTTACTCGGCGCGTATCAACGTTGAATCTCGAATCGCCATGGAAAGAGGTGAACCACCAGTGTACGGCGAGGGTGCAGCTCTCGTTGAGGCACTCGGAGAGGTCATGGGACAACTCCACTGGCGCAAGAAAGTTGACAGAGGTCTACTGGGATCTATGAAACGCCTGTGGTCGGAAACTAGCCTGGTTAGCTTGGGCATCGCACTCCGAAAATTCGATGAAGGATCCCTTCACACAACTACCCGCTGTGCATTGGTTGTGTCCAAGTACGACACTATAGAGTTCCGATACCCCGAGTCCACGTTTGACGTCGACTTTATCGCCGGCTGGGCTGACTTGGTGCGACACTTGTACGCGGTTGCGATGAGGCCTCAGGCGGAATTTCATCAAATCCTCTGTCGTGTATATGAACTCGTGACCCGTGATCAGCTGCCTGGATGGTCAGCCATGTTGGGGGCGATTGGTTTTCAGGGCGATGTCAGTCGCTGGCAGCGACATATTAATGACTACGGTGACACCCTGAGCAACCTTGACAAGCAGGGTATCCTTCCAAATATTGGACAGTAAATAGGGCGTTTTTTTGGGATATTCTTGCAGAAACTGAGAACGATGGCCTTTGAGGATATGTTATATTGGTCGGGTGGCATAGACTGGTTGATTTGGCCGCGACTTGGTTCAAGGGGGTAGGCAAATCCTATACTGGCTTGGCCAAAAGAACGGAACATGGAGTCTGGAGTCTGGATTGGGAAAATGGTAAACCAGTAGATGCGATTATCTGGGTAAATCGATTGAAATTGACTTTATAAAATATGATCCTGTTTGTAGTGATTCCCTTCACTGTTGACTTCTCTTATATTCTTACGCATTTCGAGGTGAAGTATCGTCTTGTAACTCACCACGCCCTCCTCCTTCAGGTACCAACTTCCTCTGAACCTCCATCAACACTCTAGCTTCATCTGTGCCGTTCTTCTCGACGTAGCCCATCAACTCAGCATCCATGTCTCGCACAGCATCAGCCATAGCCTTCCAGCCATGCCAATCGACGACGTTGCGAGCAGCCATGTTCCAGGCGCTCGCAGCGGCGCAGACAATGTTCATCTCGTATTCGAGGATGCGTCGGTAAAGTGTTAGAAGAGTTTGATGGACTTGCGGCTGTTGACGTTGGAACTCTGGTAGTGATGTCCAGGATGATGGATGTAGGGTGCGATGTAGGGTCATGTAGTGAGGAATGGTGTGTGCAATATGCACAAAACCCTGGCGGATATCTTCGTGTCTAAGAAGGGGTTCTAGTAGAAGCTATTGATAGTATTAGTATTATAGTTCAATGGGTTAAGGTTAGAGCCTACTGGTGTTAGTGAGCAGAAGCCCGCCCATGCGACAGCGGCACTGGGCTGGTCATCGAGTAATGAAGCTATAGTCAACCTTGTTTGAATCAGATTTTCTCTTGCTTCGACATCGCCTGAGTCTGTTTGTGAAGTCTCCTTAACTTCACGGTTTAAACCAGACTTTGTAATCATCATCATAAGCTCCGCTCTCCTCTCATTTTCCGTCGGCAGCCCATTCCCATTCCCGTTATGTCCCGGCCTCAAAGCATCAGGAAGTGCATGAGAAATAATGCTCTCATACGCGAGCACAAGACCCGAAGACGTGCCATCTCTTTTAAGGACATCATATGCTGCGTTCCAGAGTTCAAGGTCATGCGCGCGCTCTTCCTCCTCTGAGGCTGATCCGCGGCGACTCTGGCGTTGACTATGTTTGCCGATATGTGGAATAGGACATGATGAAGATTCTCGAGATGGATTTGCAGATGATGAGGGAGATGTTGAGGAAGCTTCGGGGGATGGAGGATGTGAGTGGCGGCGAATTTTGCCGACGAGCCGCTTTACTTTGCTTGTTGCGTTATGGGGAGCTGAAGGTTGTGAAGCGGTTTTCATGATGACGGTAATGGCTGAGTATGATATAAAAAGGAAGACAATGGAGAGAGGGTTGAATGATGGAGTTTACAGTGGATGGAAATCACACAACATGAAAGATGATCAAGGTCCCTAACAGTATTTTCTTCTTTCCGCTGACATGACAATGTTAGTTAATACCATTCCATTGATGCCATGACGATGATATCAGGAACTGGCAATGATCCCAAAACTGGGGGGGGGGGGGGGGGGGGGGCCGATAATAACCCCTAACTAGGACTAGATGAGACAAGAACAGTTCGTCGGGGCTCGGGAATCGAGCCAAGCGACGAGCTGAGAGTTACATCGAGTAAAAAATAATAAAAGAAAGGGTCTCACTCACCCTCAGCCGAGTTCCGACGATCATCAGAGCCATTCCATCATCGTGGTAACGGCCCTTTTTCTTGGAGGGGTCACATGAACCGAACAGTCCATGATACAGGTTTTTTGTGGGATTATTTTGACGTGGAGCCAAGACGGAGCCAAGACGGAGCCAAGATGATGACCCCAGGAGTTGATGGGGGAGAAGATGGATACTGACGGGGCTTAATAAAGAGGGTCAATTCGATGAACGAGCAACAGGTCGAAGAATCGTCATATTTGAGTATTGTATCGGCCGAGATAGTGACGTCTGAGAATAACGAGGTCAAGATACTGGAAATGACATCTTTGCTACATTAGTGTAATCAACACATATATCGTAGGAGATGGTGACCATAAACCAAGACCGAGACTACTTAGCCAAGACTTTTTCATGGCTGCCTTGAGATTTGCAAAGATCCACGAAATATGAAGTCATATTGAGAGTACAAACATCAAACCCAACAAATAAATCAACGAAAACGAATTCCTCTATCACTGGCCAATGCCCCTCGCGTCATCATCTCCAAGACCGGGGTTGATGAACCGCTGAGAGTGGGGGGCTCTCAATCCACTGAAGCGTCACTCTTCTCCACTGTCGGCCCGGGGGAGTTACTGAGAGACAAGAAACTCAATAATTTCTATCACGAGATAGTGCAAGGAAGGGTATTTAAGTTTGCAAGGAGATAAATCCTACTGTAACGGTACAGGCCCTGATATTCAAGTTTGACGGCAGTTATCATCAGGCTTTTTATCATGTGAATTTGGTATTGATCAACGACCGTTGATCTTGATGTTGGAGATTGAGGGTGCTGATCTGGACTAGATGCGAGGCTGTGAATTATGCGCATGGGAGGAAGCCGAGGCACAAAAGATAGAGCGTTTCAAAGGAATAGACAAGTGCTAGTTTGTTTCGAGGACTTCAAGAGAGACATAGCGATAGTCAAAGCGTATATAATGCCGCTATGGTCCTCCGCTCTGAACTCCAAGAATCATGTGGATGATCATTACATTTAATTACTTATAATATATAAACCCTCGTTTCACTCACTCTAATCACTTTCCAATCACACATTTTCCCATATACGCGTTGATCTCGGCATAAATATGGCACTATGGGCGAAACATCGTCCCCGTCAAAAAACGGAAACACAAACACCAAATCCTCCGGTATGATCATCGCAATTAAACAAACACAACCCGTCACCCTGTTTCACTCGTAACGACTCAATATATTTAAAAGCAAGAAAGCACTATTTTTTCCGAGTCTAATAAATCTGATCCCAAAATGTCGCTCAAAATAAACCATCCTCTCTCCATATCGTGATCCTTGTTTCATACTCACTCATCCACTCTACATGAAACACTCACATCTCCTCCTGTGATCGCATCTAAGCATCCCACTTTCCCACCTGAATTGGGTATAATTCTTTTTCTCTCCCCCGTCAACTAACTGTTGTTGAACGTCTCTCCCAACCTCCTCGTTGCAGTGCAGCGCAGCGTTTCCCTTTCTCAGTCACTCGTTAACATAGGTGTTGATCACCTGTTGGTCCGTTACTCTTCACCACGATCCTTTCTTTTTCTCAGCAAAATACTCGACTTTCTTTCCATCCGCTAAACCAACTGTCGAGATGCATTTCATCAACCTTGTCGCCGTCTTCATCGGCCTTGCAGCCGCAGCGCCCACGGCTACTCCCACCAAAGACAACATGATCGCCGTCTCAACCGTAGCACCCAGCGCCTACGAAGATCCATACACATACTGGGCTGCTGGAAACCACTCCTTCAGTACATGCGACAAGAAGACTTACAAGGCGCGCCAGGCCCCCAAGAGCACCAAGCGAGCCAACTACAACGACTGCGCAGCGCTTCTCTCAACCTTTGGTACTCGTAACGGCACTTTCAGCATCCCCGCTGCTTCCGACGACAAGCGCGAGTACGATGTGGGAGATGGACTTGTCAACATCGTCAAATCAGGGTCGTGCGCCTTTGCTGTGCGCGCTGACAAGGGATTAAAAGTCGGCGATGATGATGTGGTTTGGATTATGCAGAAGGCTGTTCTTGAGTACTCTGCTGGAACGGAGATGGCGGCTCGTGGATCCGTCAAGTGTACTGCTGATGAGGCTGGCAAGAAGGGAGGTCTTTACTGGCAGATTCATGGTATTGAGTCTGCTGGTTATTAGCTGGGTTTGGACTCCATGATCTTGATGATCAACTGTTCGGTATGGATTTATGGGAGTTTTCCGACATGAAGCATTCACTGGAGGAACAGTTCTGGAACTGTCTTGACGACTAGATGCGTTTTTATGTGCGATACCCGGGTTTACAGAGGATTTGGCAAGTAAAGATATAGCCACAATGCGTACATATTTCTTCTCCCCACTTCTCTGAAAGGACTTATCATTCGGTGATGGTACAAGTCAAGATCAAGGAAGTTCAATATCATGTTGCTACTATGCCCGTTCGCTGAGGTCTATCAGTCTCATTGTCTGTGGCATCACAGTTTCTACCTCAATAGCCCGCCCAGTTCTCTTATCCATACATGTTCGAGATGGGTAACTGATAGATAATCCCCGAAAAGGATCCGTCACGTTGATCGGTTTCATGTCGCTAAAATCTGGCCTGGATGGTTGGGCGCAACAGGGTCATCCTTGTTAAGGATTTCATATGTCGCTCGCATCACTTACAATAAAGCAGTAGTTATAGGACTCCCGCTAGATACCTTGCTTTAGGTTCAAGTATCTCTTGCACCATTTCCTTGCATCTAGACCTTTTCATCAGAATATGTTCTGGCCTTGACTTTTGTACCGGTCTCCTCTCGCTACGATACACCACCACGGCCTCCAACGCCCCATTTCGCCTGTGCCTCGACAGCGCCGCTCCAATAGACTGCAGTTCCCTGCCCTGTTCGGTTTGAAAGGCAAGAGGTTGGTTTCGGCAAGGCACCTCAGGAAGCGGCCATTAGCTTCTCTACCTAGAGACGACCTCCCCAGCACTCTCATCAATACCTGTCTACCAACCCGTACCAGCCTCAAGAACAGCAACAGCGTTGCGATCATCAAGTTCCGGAGCGCGGGTGTTTTTAGGGAGGTCGTTCGTGGCCATCTAGTATGGAAAAGAGGCATCAGGATGCTTTGTTCCTTGTGCTTCTGGACAGGACCTGCCGAGACGAAGGTCCTGGACTGGGTCTTCGTCTTATCGTGAACCATCTCAGAAACAACATAACCATAGTAACTAAGGGAGAAATAATTGCCTCATGCGTATGTAAGGATGGGCAGTGTCGTGCTCAGCAAAGACACCAACGTTGTTACTGTTGTGGCAGACATTTTCAGAATAACCTGCACCATAGGTACTTCGAGACATGGATCACTTCAGGAACATTAGGAATAAACATTATTGTGTGAATTGATCATTAAATTCATTTAGGAATGGTCAACTCGGACCATGATACGTAAAGTCAACCTGACGCAGAATATTCTCGACTTCTTAGTCAAACATGCAGGTTCCTCCATTGTGTATAGCAAAGCAAATGATATAATCCCAAGCTCCAAAATCTTAATCTTTAAGTGCTCTCCATACAGTAGCACTCTGATAATCCTTCAGTTGATAAGCATGAGTCGAAACCTCGGCGGTAATCAACCATAGTAGTCATCAATGATTGAAATGTCAGGATACTTAGCCTGAGTCCGGTCCATACGACGTAACTTTGTGGCGTGGGCCTCCAGCTTCACTTTGCGATCAAGGCAAAGCTGTTCAACTCCCCTAGCGCTCGTAATTGCCTCTTCCGCGCCCTTGAACCTGGAGGCAGCACGGTTTTTGCAACCTTCGACCTCTTTACGAATTGCGCGGGAAACGGCATCCCCTGCGTGGGCAACGAGGCGGTCGATCCGTTTGAGAGCCTTTTCAACGCCGGGTTGGTGACGGAAGACACGATTTCCGATGGAGTCAATCTCACGTGTGTAATCTCCAACGACTTCTCCGATGCGATCTTTCTCAGCGAGAGTTGCGTATCGCCGTTGGGTTCGAGGCGAGTGAGGTATAGCGCGTGAGGCATCGGGAAGAGTGCGGACGGTGCCTTTTTCTCTGAAAGTGTTAACCAGCACGTTCATCTCGGTGACATCTTCTGTGATGAATCGAAGCTGTCGCTCGACAGAATCAATCGCGGAATAAATCCACGCGGTCTTTGTAGGAGCGGTAGGAGAGGGAGGATCATCTTTATAAGGGTCAGGGCTGTTTGATATTATGCCTTTTTTCCTCTCGATTTCCCTGATTCTTCGGAAGTGCGCTTTTGCATCGGAGCGGCTGAAGTTGGTAGTGCGTTTTCCGGTGAAGGGTTTTAGATAGGAGTAGTCGGGTTCTCTGGTGGGTTCTGGGGCTAAGACTCCTTCGTCATGAAGCTTTTGTATGGCTTGGGGAGATACTTTGACGTATGCAGCGCCAGGGGGTTTGTTTGATGGTCGAGGTCGAAGGTGAAGGGGGGTATGCTCAGAGGATGACCGGGAAGAAGAAGTAGAAGATCCAGTAGAAGGTGTGGGTACTCGAAAGCAGCGACTTGGCATGTCCGGTGTAGAGAGGACTTCTTTCTCAGGGGACTGGTATGTGGGCTCTTCAGGGACTTCCTGAGGAGTATACACGAAAAAGTAATAGTGTAACTGCCACATGGCAACAGCGCCGAGCAGGGCGAGGGAGACGACGAATGAGTATGTTGACATGTTGTAGAGGAAGACAGTCCAAAAGCAAATGAAATTGAAGATGGTAGTCAGGGTGAAAAAGATGGTGCGGATAAAAAGGAACTGCGAGTATGCTCCAAGATCCCAGATCTCGTAAATAGCCCACACAGGATCGTCATAAGCATCAAGAATCACCTCGCAAACCTCTTTTCCGATACGGTACAAGAAGTGAGAGGACCAGGCAGTGATGAAAGCTCCCCAAAGCATGTGAGAGGCAGTAGGGCTCGCCTTGTAGTGGTCGAGGATCCAGTCGTTGTGCTTCGAGTACTGGAGGGGGCTGCGAATCATCATGCAGAACCACTCCAGGATGATACTGAAAATAGAAATCTGGAATCTGACAGTGAATGCAATGAAGTGAAATACGTTCGGACACTCCTTGATGAGGCGCTGGAAACCGGTTTCGGGGTAAGGGCGGTAGTTGGGGAATTGCTTCGGGTCATAGGTGAGACGAGAGCGACGCCAGAACATGGTGACTGATTTTTGTAGATATCAGTGATTATTTGAGAGTCGTGTGGTTGAAATGGTGAACTTTGTGATGGGATGTAGTTAATTAAGTGCTGTGGTTCGTGAAACACTGTTGTGAAGTGAAGAGAAAAATGAGTGAGTATGGGGAGTCAGAGTAGACCAGTCGTGATGAAATGAAAATAAATCAAACGCTCGCTTCATTGTTTACGTTGACCTCTATTCACTGCCCAGCAACTGCTCAGTTGGGGGTGCTCTACCAGCAGGCTGCCACTGACAGGAAGTGAGGGTATTCACAGTTGACAGTGTCAACCAATCAAACACTTTCAAACATCATAAGTGACCAGTTCCAGGCAAATATAGTGGTAAATACGTAAGTATACTAGGTAGGTATTGCACATCAAAGGCCGCTGTGGAAAGACTTGAAACTGAAAATGGACTCAAGTCTGTTTGTCTCAAGGTAGTTGCTGGCTTGTGTTAAGAAAGTAAGAGAAATCTAGATATCTTGACTTCAGGCTCCGAGCATTATAATTGAACGACTCATTTAATATCACGGTTGTTTGTACGCTTGATATTGGGTTTTATCGTTTAGGCATGACTGGTTGTGAATTTTGCAAACATCACTGTGTCACTTAAACCCTTACATAGATTGCTGTTACTTCAAAGACAGTACTACAATAATGAATCAGAAGCCTCAATGTTCAACATACTCGAACTTGGCCGTTCTATAGTCTTCCGAAGACTCTGCATTGCGGCAATGTCCAAAATGTTCATATTGGATGCTCATCAGTTTATGTCCATGATCTCGCCACCTCGACTTCCTGGTTGGTTTCTCGAACAGAAACAAATCACCAAGCACCTTCCATCAAAATCATGTGCAGTGTCTGGCACGTCGTGAGTTGTTTCCCAAAGAAGCTCCTCGGAAATCCAGTTCAGAGCCTTCAGGAGGCTTTGGGGTAGTCAAGCCACATGATGATTTCCTAGATGTGACTTACACGAGATGAGAAGAACGATATAAGATTATTGCCAAGAACCAAGAACACCGTCTCTTGAAGCGTTTTTTTGCGTTAATTCCAGGATATTTTTGATAGTTGCTGTCAAGATTGAGTTCCTCGTGAGGTGGTTAGCAAAGTCTGTTGGTAATGACTCCATACATCCGAGCCATTATTGGAAGCCAAGGGACCCATCATCAATACCAACACGTTGGTCAAGACCCATGAGTTTAGTCCATGAAAAAAAGATCCTTGCTATTCGATTGATTTGGCTGCCAAGACCCAATATGTTCCTCTAGAGATGACCACACCAGGCGTTTCGAGAGACAACTTTTGCCTGGGCACTTCATTCCCGAGAAGGAATTGTCTAGCATTCGTTAGTTCTTTCTTGGCAATGTCTAGGTGCTCCAATAATGCCGTTGATCGCCAGCTTTGCTCCGGCGTCCGAAAAAAAATCGCTTCTCGATATCATCAACATCCATAGCAAGGCATTTCGATAACATGACGTGCATTAGTCTCCCCATTAACAAGTCCAAGTAATTCTTATTTCCATTTCGCTTAGCATAAGGCCTTTAACTTTGAATGCTCGGTTGCACAGAACCATGCCGCCGCAGCGAATTTCGGGGCATAGAAAACGGCGGTTTTTTTTGGTATGGCGCACGCTAATTACCAGATTCTGGGGTCTTGGATCGACAAGGCAGTTGCTAACACGGGTCTATGAAAGATAGAGGAGGATCATGTTACCTAAATTATACGGGTAGATCAGATATTGGGCAGAGATGGTTCGCACGGATGGTATGGTGGTGTCTGCTCTGACTTGCATGAACAGCTAAGAGAAACAATGTTTATGCCGTTATGCCGAACAAGCCATGAACATCTGTGGGTATGTGATGCACCCGTGTTCAGGCTGATGAGTTTGAAAATGGGAATAGAGTCTGGGCAAAATTGAGTTTACAAAATTCAAGCACGTTGAAATTACCATTCAAGGGACCTGTAGCTGATTTATGCTGGTGGTCATAGTCCATCCAAGCTTTGTCTGATCTTAATCGGCTCTCAGGGACAACACCGAAAAAGCGAGGCCAGTCTTAAAGGAGATGACAATAGAGTCGATTGCCTTTTGGTCTGTATTATTCTGATCGCCAAGACCATGAGACATCTGATTTCATTCCATGAACAGACCCTTCATGTATTTTGTTTACTGATCTTTAGGGAGAGTTTGTCCAGGAGAAAGAGACTTCAGCCACAATCCTTATATTCATTCATCCAGTGACTGAGAAACATCTCTGAACAGACGTCTCACCCAAAGCCTAATGCACAAGCCTCAATGCTGAATTCCATGACAGCTTTGACGGCTGCTTAATCTTGGCTAGGAGCCTCATCTACCCGCTGTCGCAGCTGTCGCCCTCGGACTGGGGGATTTACGAGTTGCCCGAGAGGCGATTCCTCTTCGGGGCAGGCGTTGCGCGAAAGAGAAGGGCTGGAATGTAGCCGCACCTTTTGACTTTGACAGAAGATGCAGAGAGCGTACTACGTATGCAAACACAGGCAGAGTTTCCTTCTGGACGTTTCTGCGTTCTCGGTGGAAGCGCACTTAAGGTATATGCCGTCAGTTGAGGTATGAAAAAAGTATGAGTCTGGGGAGACCGAAGAAAAAAAGAAGGTTTCATGGAATGTCACTGTTTCGAGAGACGGGTATCTCAGATACTTCCGTCACCGGAGGATTGCGTGGAACCGCGGAGCCGTCATGTGGGTTAGCCTCCGGTCCCCATCGCGGACCGAAGTGGAGGGTACGGACAGAGTCCGGGCGAAAAGTCATGGTAGCTCAATGGAGGTAGTAGAAGGCCATTCGACATTGTGATGTCGTCTTGTGGGATACGAGTAAGCCTCGAATACGCCTGTAAAAACAGTTATCGGTAGTTCAGTGGGATGAGAAACGCGGTGGGCTCGTAAAGACAGACGCCTCGTCATGTGGACTACAACAGTCTTGTTGGTTGAGGTTTTAGTGCATCTGATCTGATATGAAGGCACAAGCAAGGCAAGCTATGACTGGCGTGAGAGAACAGCTAGAGATAGCTTGAAAGGGCCGAGTTTAGTCTGGGAGTCTAGACGCGGCACAAGCTGGGGATTTGCTGATCGCATTCTGGTTCAAGCAAAGCGGGAGTGCCCAGAAGTGGATTCTAAATAGGTGCTTGGAAGCCTCAACGTGAGTTTGACGAGTCAAGTGCCACATTGTGTACCTATTGAGGACAAAGTGGCGCCTCAATGGCTTTAGCCATGGTGGAACGAGGCTACAGTTTCAGAGCCTTGGCGTTTACGGCTCGTTGATTGACACTGGACACTGAGAAGGGTACTCGACAAAAGAGGGCCTAGTTTGCGATGTCGGGAAAAAGGCAGACTGTCGTTCTCGTTCCGGGTTCCTGGGACACGGGGAATGTTACCAATTGTTAGCGTTTCAGCGGTCTCTCTCCTCTCTTCTCTCTCTCAGGACTCAGGATTGTTACGAAGTACTTGTCCCTTACTTTTGGGGTCTCGCCTCGTCTCGTCTCTTCCCCTGCCTCGTCCCATTTATGCCTCCGGAACAGAAGCCGACCTATCATGAGCGATCCCAAGGGTGCCCCAACCGTGCGAGATGCCTAGGGTGCAGTAGTATTGGCTGGCGTGACCTGTCCATCTGTATCCGTGCCCCCTTTTGACGGGCCGACCAGGTACATCCATCCATCTCAATCATCCTCAGGTCAGGTCTTCTTCGCACGGGCGGGATCGTACTGCGGCGGAGGCTAGGAACTGGCGGGTACTGACACTAATGACGGGACGGAGTCGGAATCACGGAACGCTCAATAATCCTGATCTTGCTGCACCTAACAGAAATAGCGTCTCATTGTCTCTGGTCACGGTAACCAATTAGGCATCCAAGACCGTAATGGCTGCAGCAAACATTGGTTTCAATAGAACAGTATCCGTTCGGTCACTCGGCTTCCGCGGAGAATTAGGGAAAAGTCATGACGAGCAGCAACGCCTCGCGTTTTACAACGGGAAGCTTCACAATAGATAGACAGACAAGACAGACAAGACAGGAGAATAGAGCGGTGATTCGAGCGAGTACCGCATTCCTCTGGCAAAGAGCTAATCCGCAACTCGGCAAAATGAGACATTGCTGGGCTCGTAAATGTTGGGTTAGGTTTCGGCGAACTCACATGCCGATCAGGGACCGTCTGACAGCCACGTCAAATCAAATGAACAAACGTTGACAAGACAACTCAACTCGGTTCATCTCATTTCAACAATTCAAGGGCTGAGCTGGAGCTGGGGAAAAGCAAATAGCCTCTATTCTGGATCTACTGTACGGTTTGACGCCCCTCAGCCGGCTAATATTGAACCGTCTGTTCGTAACCGTACTGTATCGTCTCGAAACAAATAGAATTCTCGACTGATCATCACGAAGCATCCTCGTGAACAACCCCCAAACTCGGGATGAGACAAACCAGAAATCAGATGCATCGGAAAGACAATGAAAGACAAAACGGGACAAGGATCAAAACTCGCTACCGTACCTAGGTTCAGGTAAGCCCACTGATGCTTCACTCTGCTAGGGTCTTCTGCTCTGGTGACTGGTGCGCCTTACTCGCTTCTCTTCTTGGCAGACCAGACTTTTGGGAAAGACAAGGGGAAAATCAGTGGGTGATCATTTTAGCAGAACTCCGTCGGTACTGTGCACCTCGTAACCTACAGGACAGTGAGCACCTCACCTACGCCGACACCGTTGCGACTAAATTAGCCATAGCAAGTCCAGGCTGGGCGCCCCCAGGTCATGTCTCCAGCTGTTTCTCAATGATGGCACGGATCCGCTCTGGCGTTTTTGGCGAATGGAATTACGGACCTGCACTAGAGGTACCTACACCTGATGGCTGAGGCTGCGGTAGCCCAGCCCAGCCCAGCCCAGCCTAAAACAACAAGTTAAACCTGAAAGGAGTACATTTTACGAGCCAAGGGGTCAGAAGAGAAAAAGCAAGCAGCCAGAAACAATAATATTAAAAGCATCCTCTATTCCCCCGGTTCTCAAACACACTGATCTCTTTTTTTTACGATCACCAACCAATCCGCGAAGTTCCGAAACCGAGAATACCATTACCACCTATTACAGTACCTTACAGTACAAGCACGGGCTTTGGGCTACCTCACCTCTGCCACCAAAATAGCCGCGGATCCTCATCACATTTACCTACACCCCCCGGTCCCGGGCTAGTCAACGCAGCACAACAAAAGACAAACAGAAAGAACCAGGAACAAGGCCCAGGGTTTCATTCATTTCGATCCAATCCAATTCTTCATATATCCATCTGCCAGCACCCCTACCACTGCAACTTTTCCCATCTTGCTCTGCCCGTCAAGACATTCTCCCTTACAACTGTATCTTCCAAGAGCAGTACTAAATCCAAAAGCTTCGACGAGCTGGTCTCTTGAAACGTCTAACAAGCTTGGGACCTGTTTGTGCTCTCACCTTGCATATACGCATGCATAAACATCCTTTAATAGCAACAACCTGACACGCATATTGTCTTGTTTGCTCCCCCGTCGACCAACAACCCATTCCTACCCCTCCAGCTCATCATCGACCTGGCTCAGCCATATATACCAATACGGCACCTCGACAACGTTTACTATACCTCCCTAGTCAACACCAACTCACAACACCGCAACGATGCTCCGAGGAACCACTTCCAACGTCCCCAAGGTCCCACTCTTTGGTGTACCCAAGAGACGCAAGCAGAGGCAACAACAAGAACAGGAGCAAAAGGATAAAGAAGAGAAGCTTCGCCTACAGGCTCTCGAGGAAGCTGAATTCGCAACCAAGGCCGAAACTTCAGACTTCCTCCTCTACTACCTTGAGCGATCCCCCTTCAAGGACCAATCCGATCAGATCTCCATCGCCTGGGAGAACCTACCCAGCCTGGGCGAGCTTGAGTCTTTCGCCAGACTCGACAAGACTGCTGGCACACAAGCCTGCCGTCGTCTATTCAAAGCCGTCGTCATCTGGGACGATCTTGGTCTTGATCTCTGGGAGACTCTCAACAGCACTTTCCACCCTGGAAGCGACGAGGAGGAGAGCGATGATGATCTCCTCGACGAAATCTCAGAAGAACCCGTCGGCTGGGATCACACAAGCCCCCGAAGATCCCGATCCCGCGCCAGCTCCAGGACATCTTCCTCTGAGACACATAATTCTGAACGTTCTCGCCAAGTCTCCTCAGAGCGACAAGATCAGCGTGAGCGTAGCCGCGACTCGCGCAAGACAGCTTCCGCCCGAGACCAGAGCGTCAACGGAAGATTACTTTCCCGGAGACCTATGGGTCTTCAGGGCGGTATGATCAGCGAGTACTACGACAGCCCCTCGCGATATCGTGTTCCCAAGATTGTGCGGGTCCTATAAGCGCTTACACATTACTACTCTACGAACATTTCTTTTGTATTTGATCTTATACTGCTTTTTCAAGCGGGCGTTGGGAAATTAGCAAAGTTCGCAGCAACCGCTACACTAGCCACATATTGATTTCTCATGTTTTCTGAGTATTAGCAAGGCGTTCTGGACATGTAGGCAATGGCACCGGACAATTACGGATTACGGGATACCACCAATATCACAGCTGAGGGGATAACAGCTACCATATTATTACTACAGTACAGCAACGAACAATTTACCAAATAATTTTGATACTTTCATAATCATGCAATTCCTGAGTGATCGATGTGAAAATTTGGATGGCTCCTCTTGATGTAACCTTCAAAGTTTGAAGCTCTACAACAACCATTAGCACTACCAAGGAAAACTCCTTGTCTTGAAGCTAGATCGTCGCTATTCTGACATCACCCAAGATCCGTCGTTGCAACATCGAGATATGATCGGATTGAAGGGAGAAATCGACGTCATGGTGGAGGGAATATTAACTGCCGCGGTCTTAAGAGCCGAAGAACCTGGAAAGTTCCGTATCTGGCCAACAAGACCTGGCCAGACCTTTTTTCGGGGAACTCTATCAAGACTGCAAAGCAATTATCTTCATCACATCAGTTGATCACCTTCTATTTCATCACCACTTCATCAAATGATCACCATATTCACAGTATGCGCTGTCGTGTCGCCTACTCTCGTCGCTGACTCGTCTCATGTAGTGATTCTATCCTTGGCATTGTCTTAGTTGCTGAGCCTGGAGGTCATTTCAGGAGAGCCAATGGTTCGAGGTGCGCTTCAGTCACTATCCGTGTGGCGCCGGGGCTAGCTCAATCAGGAGTATGCATCCACCGGCTGGGATGGGTAAAGTCTTCATTCCCAATTCAGGTATTGCTTTGAAGTCCACTGGGACCAGTTGAGACGGACGAGTGTTTGGTCATCGAAACACCCTTTCAAATAACATGTGAGACCTGAATCGACTATGAAACATTGAGATCTTTAATAAAGGATAATTCCATCTCCATCTAGTTTTGGTTTCAGTATTTAACTTGGTGAGACTCAACCTCTCTATTCAAGGGAAATTAAATCGTTTGTCTGTTGCTCTGGTCGAACAAAAAGCATGCAGCCCAGGGACGCTAAGAAAAGTCCACGTCTTGTGATAATTGTGTCGACCTCTTCTGCACGCACCCTCAACTATGAAACACTTCGGTTATAAACTCTCAGCAGCTGTCTCACTTGAGTAGTTTTCTCTTTAAGCATGAGATAACTCTATTCTTTGCTTAAATGCAGGACCTGACTCACTTTACTCTCGGGTGATGGGATGAAATGCAGCTGATGGTGTGCTGTACAGGCTATCTCAGCTAGCCTCAGGGGTCCTGTCCCAATTTGTATCTAGACTCGAGAGGCGCTGTTTGAGGCTTCACACCAGGAGAATAGGGCATTTTACAGTATAGCCTGGCTGCTGGCAAGATGAAGAGCTCCTTTTCGAGACGGAATGTTCCGGCTGTATTGTGTGCAGCTGAGCGTGAGGATCTTTGTTTCATTGTTCTCTATGCTTTTTGGTGTTTTTGTTGTAGTGTTTCTGGATATAATGAAGCACTTACACTGCCTCTCGTGGGTCGGCCTGTTAGGCTTGGCTGTCCTAACTACCGCAAAAGATGTCTCTTACGTGACCGATCTCGAGATCTTTACCTACTTGGTACGACTCCTGAAAAGAGCACCAGTGCAGTACTAACTGTGTAGGCGCCATGTGTTTCCAGCGCGATCTCATACAATGTCGGCATGCAGACGTACTCGACCATGTGCGGCGACTCGGAGACCGAATTGCAGAAATGTATCTGCTCGACTCGAATGGACGAAGTTGCCTCATCGATATCGACCGATATAGAATACAGCTGCGGTTCCAGCGCGACGGAAGATCTGTCAAGTGCGTCTAAGCTGATGCAGAAGTACTGCAATCAGGAGGAGCACATCACTTTTTTCTCGCCAACCAAGAATATCGTCGAGGCGTACATAACAGATCTTCCTGAGTTGGCGTATCTTCCGCCTTGCGCGCAGTCGGGATTATCCTACGCCGTGGTCAATATTGTATGAAAGCTTCCAAAGTCCAGTAATAGGGGGTGACCTGACTAACATGAGTATAGGGGTCATCAAGGTGTCCCGAGGCCGCTGAACTGAATGCGCCGTGTGTCTGTAACAAGAAAGACGTCGTTCGAGATATTACTTCAACACTTAAGAGTGCCGTGAAATATTCATGTTCTAACAACGGAGACGTCACTTCGGCCCAGAACTTCTACAGCGAATTCTGTCAGATGAACGACGGCACAACGTCTTTTGCACCACCGAAAGGGCCTCCTGGAGATAGTGAGTCTGGAATTATGTCTCAGGGAATCATTCTAATGTTGATTCTGTCAGTGTCATACTACATCACAGCTATGCCGCATTTCAAGTCTCTCAATAAATGCGCCCAGTCCGGGATAGCTTCTGCAGTCATGGAGGTAAGTCCCAATGTTTCGATACGCGACCCTGTTTCTAACAACAGTATAGCAAAGCTCCTGGCTATGTGGAGAAGGTCCTCAAGAACTGGCTTCATGCATCTGCATAAAATCAGGGATGTCAAAGATCATATCTAGCAGTTTGACTGAGCGAGTCAAGGACTACTGCGATAGTACACACATTGCCAACGTCACATCAGCTATCGATGTTTTCCGGTATTATTGCAGCGCTGCTGAGAGTTTAGTTGTTGCTACCGTCAGCCAGTCCATCTTCCAATCGTATCCGACTGCTAGTTCGGGAGCTGGTTCGGGGACAACAGTTCCAGGAATGACTGGTTCAGTTGGTGCAACTGCAACTTCTAGTTCTAATACTGCGAAAGAATCTGATCCTGGCCATGAGGACAAAGATGATAGTGAATCAAAGACGAGTATCGCGCCGATTGCTGGAGGAGTTGCAGGAGTTGTCATATTAGCCGCTCTTGGCGCCGGACTATTCCTCTGTATTCGAAGAAAACGTCAACGTCAAGCCAAAGGCGAAGAACTCTCCAACAATGCCGACGGTCCTCCAGAATACAGCGGGCACCCAGAGCTCATGGGCAATAGTGCTTATATCAAGGGCCACACTGCACCACCAATTGTTTCCGAACTGTCATCGACCACTTCTTTCAAACCGGAACTAGGCGGAGGACAAGGCATTTCAGAACTCCCTCCTAACCATGCGCCCACAGCTGAGCTTCAAGCTCACCTTGCAAAGTCTAACTGGGGACATTCACCGGCACAGTCAGAATATGTGTCGCCAGTGAGTCCTGCGCCAACATATTCTGGTCATCATGGAATGGGCTTTCAGTCAGGGCCTGTGGAGGCTTATGAATTGGATTCTAATATACGGGGTCGGTAGAAGGATATCGATCTCCGCTTTTCTTTTAATGGCTTCAAAACCTGGCGCTATGGTTGCTTTTTGGTAATAGGAGTAATGTAATGATAACTTGTCGATGGATACCAGATATATTTGTAGTTTTAGTGTTATCAAAAACCTGCACGTATGTAAGCGCCTGTGTCTAGGTAAAGAACTATATTTTTTATTCTCCTTGTAGAAATGAACCTTCTGTAACACAACTATTAAGGTATGTTGGCCTGTTTCAACGGTATTCTGAAGTGAAAATGAAAGGTGAAAGTGAAGCCTCATATTATGGACGCATGAGCCGCGGCCGCTGTCGATCTATCAATATACCTCAATGTGGCTGCAATTCGGAGGAGTGATTCACAGTCTCCTTTGTGAACGGAGATGCACACACTGCTACACCTACATACCTGGGTATCTAATGCTAACAAACGAAAAAAGAAGCCATTCGCTCCTCCCACTGATCGAGGCCAAGAGTGTAGGGTAAGCCACTTGCGATCGGAAAAAGCTTCCACCTGCACTTGGCCCGTGCCCGTTGCTTCCCCGGCAGCAAACGTTGGCGTGTTGCATCTCAGCTTTGGAGCTCCAAATTTCCTAGTCTCTCCAACAACAAAGACTCCATTTCCTTTGTCGGAGAATTTCATCAACGTCTCACCCTCATTTGTCGATCTGATAGACACAAAGCGAAGCGACAACCGACGTGGACTTGGGTTTTAATTCGACTTTTTCTCCTCGAACGCGTAGCTGTGGTAATGACGAGTATCGCGCTATTGACCTGATCCGACCTCGACCATGGCGGCCGCAGACGTGGACATTGGCTATGTCGCAGGCCACCTCGGCCTCGATCAGCCTGTTATCGCGTCTCTAACGACAGAACCGACCGTAGAGCTCGTCAATATTGTTCTACAGGCTGTTGCTGCCAAAGCGCACGAGTTTGACGCCCTCTACGCTGAAAAGCTCCAGACCGACATTGAACTTGAGAACGCGGTGCGAAGCTCTGAAACGCGATCGCAAACTTTCAAAGCTACTGCGGATAAAGCCCTCAAAGATGTTGAAGAGGCTAGGCAGCAGCTCAAGGACGAAGGTATGTTTGGAAGGAGTGTGCGAAACCAAGTTGGATGATTGTTGACATTCATTTTCCCCACAGAAACGAAGCGACAATCTCTCGAGAACGAACTTCAAGTTTTCAAAGCTAAGAAATCGGATTACGATGCCGAGATCAAGGCTCTCAATGACAAGATCGAAACTCTTCAATCGTCGAACCGAACCAACTTGAGCATTATTGAATCCAACAACAAGCGCGATCAGACTATTACCGAAGAACTCACCAAGCAGCACCAGCGAAATGTCGAGCTTTCTCGCGAGATTACTGCACTGCAACAATCGGAGCAGAATGCACGAGGCCAGCTCAACAGTGCCAAGTATCGAGAAGAATCCCTACAACAACAGCTCGACCTTGCCCGAAAGAATAGCGAATGGCTAGAGAATGAACTCAAGACGAAGAGCGAGGAGGGCCTCAAGTACCGAAAGGAAAAGGGCGCCCGTATCGCCGAGCTCCAGCGACAAAATGAAGACATTCAATCTCAGGTCGACTCTCTAAAGAGAACAGAGCAACAGCTCCGCGATCGACTCGATGCCATGCAAGCCAAGGCTGATGAAGCTTTGGTGAAGGTTCAGAACCAGGAGGGATCCTTTGCGCAGACAATCGAGAGCTATAAGCATGAGCTTGAAGCTCAGAAACGTTTGGTTGAGATGTCTAACCAGCTCAGTAAGAAGCACCAAGAACGAGTGCACGATCTTGAAGCCGAAAAAGAGCGACTCCGCGACAACTACGAAAATGAGCTTCGACGCGTTCGAGCCGAGCTTGAGCAAGAGCGTCAGACTACGAGTGAAATGGAGGAACGCATTAACCAGCTCCAGTCCGAAATTGACGAGCTTCAGGCTCGTATGGAGCAGCACGCACCACCACCTGAGTCTGCACCACAGACTCCCCGTGCCAACGGCTCCTTGATGCGACCCTCCTCTCCCTTCGCAACACCTTCGTCTATTCGAGCCAAGGGCGCGATTACCACCACGCAGGCCCTTGACCAGCTGTACCAAGTTAAGGGTCAACTTGCCACCGAAAAGCGCCGCAACGCTCAGCTCTCCGAAGAGCTGGACAACATGATGACCGCTTTAGAAGCAAAGGCTCCCGAGATCCAAGATCTTCAGACCGAAGCCGAGCAGCTTCGAGAAGAAATTACTCGAATGTCTGAGTTATCTCAAAATAGCTTTGAGGAACGTGACAAGGCAAGACGAGCAGCGAGAAAGGCAGAGAGTGCACTTGCAACTTCACAGTCTGAGACAAATATTCTGCGCACTCAACTTCGAGACCTTGGTACTCAGATAAACATGTTGTTGTTCCAGATCCACGCCATGGAGAAGGGTACGGACCAGCTTACTGATGAAGAGACTTTCCGACTTCAACAACTACAGAAAGGAGAGATTTCAGAGGAGGCTTTGTCAGATATGTCCGACACCCACCAATTCATTACGCAGAAACTGGTGGTGTTCAAGGATATTCAGTCCCTGCAAGCCAAGAACGAAGAGCTTCTTCGCATTACTCGAGAACTTGCTAATCAACTCGAAAGCGAGGAAGCACTTGCAGAGAAGCACCAGGCCAAGCAAGACCACGACATGGTTGAGAAGCTTCAGCAGGAACTTAGCCACATGACCGAGGAGGCAAGGTCTATCAAGAAGACGATGGAGAGCTTCAAGACGGAGCGTGATATGTTCCGAAGACTTTTGCAGCAACGGGGTGTTCACGGTGACGAGGCATCTATGATGCGAAATTCCATTGCTGGTGGTGAGCGTTTGCCCTTGGCCAGCATTGAGGCAACTGAGCAGACCGAGGCTCTGAACGAGGCACTGCGCAAGCTTCAGTCTGAATACGATAACTACCGCGAGGCCCAGGACGGAGTTCGTAAGGATTTGCGTGACCAGATCGATGCTTTGTCAGCCGAACGCAACAGGCTACAGACCGACAAGGTTAAACTTCACGCCGAAGCCCGCCTTGAGTCTGAGAGGCGTGAAATGTTGCACACCAACTTTGTGGCACTTCAAAGTGAGAACCACGAACTTCAAAAGCGAGCGCAGACTTTGTCTGAGACTGCTGCTAAGCAAGATATTCGAACGCAACAGGTTGCTGAAGAACTCATTGAAGCCAGAGGTTTGCTTGATAGCGTTCGCAACGAGACTGCGAACCTGAAGGCGGAGAAAAAGCTTTGGAAGGACATTCAAGATAGACTAAGCAAGGACAACGAGAACCTTATCGAGGAAAAGAATCGCTTAAACAATTTGCTGGCAACTCAACAATCGATCGAAAATGAGCGCAACATGGCTGATTCGGAAGCTCGACGCAAAGCGCAAGCCAAGATTGAAAGCCTCGAGCAGGAACTGAGCGATGCCCAGAGAAAACTCACATACGAAGCGGAGGAAACTAAGAAGTTGCAACTCAGGAAGGAGTTCGAGTCAAAGGAGTCACAGAAGCGAATCGACGAACTCATGGCAAGCCTGAGCCAAATTCGCGAGGAGCATGTCGCTGTTAAGACCAGCAGAGATCACCTTCAAGCTCGCGTTGATGAGTTGACGGTTGAGCTACGAAACGCTGAGGAACGAGCTGGAAGACTTCAGCCCCGACCTACGCCCCGACCTGGAACTATCGAGGTTAGCGAGCAACAACAGCAACTCGAGAACGAGATCCAGGAGCTCAACGTCGAGATCTCCGACCTCAAGCGAGATTTGGACATGGCCAATACACATCTCGAGAACGCGAAGACCCAGGCTGAGCAGTTCAAAGAGCTCAGTCAGGCTAACGAAGAAGCGCTTGAAGATCTGCGGGGATCACAAGAACAATACAGACAAGAGATGGAGGCCATCATTGAGGAAAAGGATGCGAAGATCAAGGAGCTTAGCCAGCGTGCTGAGGACTTGTCGGCGGAGTTGTCTCGCTCTAACACCGAGCTTTCTAGCCTACGGGACTCCCAGGGTGAGGTTGCACGACGATACGAAGATGAGAAGTCGATATTACAGGAGGAGCTAAACCGACTCAAGGAGGAGAGCGCAAGGCATCTGGAGGCAACGCGATTCCATCAGCAAGATCTTCGTGCTCAAGCTGAAATCGCCTCCAAGGCCCAGCAAGACTATGAGCAGGAACTAGTGAAGCATGCTGAGGCTGCTAAGCTTGTTCAGCAACTACGAACTGAGTACAATACACTTAAGAGCGAGGCCGCATCACTCAAGTCAGAAGCGGACTCTGCAAAGGTTACTCTTGCTCAAAGCGAAAGCTCTTGGGAGGAACGTCGACAACAGCTGGAGCAGGAGATGGCGGAACTTAAGACTCGAAGAGAAGATGTCAACTCCCAGAACAAGATTCTTCACCAACAACTGGAAGCCTTGACTACACAAGTTGCCGCGCTTCAGCAGAAGCGAAGTGGCGAAGAAGAGGAGGACGAAAGGATGTCGCCAGTTCCCTTGGGAGACGCCAGCGAAGGTCTCCGGGAACTCAACAGTTACCTCCGACGAGAGAAGGAGATTCTCGAAGTTCAGTATGATCTCAAGGCTCAAGAGGCCAAGCGACTCCAGCAACAACTTGAGTATACTCAGGCTCAGCTCGATGAGGCACGTCTCAAGCTTGACCAGGAACGCACACAGGCTGCCCAGAGTGGTCGCACTTCAATGACGCACCAGGACCTCATGGAAAAGCTAAATGAGCTCAATATCTACCGCGAAAGCAGTATGACGTTGCGCAACGAAAACCAGCAACTCAAGGACCAGATCGGCGAGAAAAACAAGAAGATTGAGGAGATGGAGACCCGTATCCAACCCCTGGAGGCTGAAATCGACACCCTCAAGACTCAGAAGTCTTTCCTCGAGGATGAAATCAAGCAAATCCAGGAGGATCGCGACCGATGGCAGAAGCGTACTGAGGGCATTCTGACCAAGTATGGACGAGTTGA